GATTCTATGAGTCTATGATTCTATGACTGCTTTCCTGATATGATTCTTTGCTGTGTATGACTTTTAATCTCACTATGTGATTTCAGTAACTTGTCAGGGCTGCTTTTCAAACAGAACTGAAGTATTCCTCTCAATGCTCTAAAGCTCGAACCTAAGATGATGGTTCACTCTTTCACTGCTTCCTGTCATCCAGTCACTGCTTTCCTCCTATATCCTCCAAACTATCCTTAGCCTGCATGTTTCCTATTCCATATTGCTTTTGCCCCAAGCTGCCCCTCTTACCATTGAGTTTCAGAATTCCATCTCCCATTTTTTTCCTACAGTCATACTAGTCTTTTTCTAAACTTGGCTTCCTCAGTTCTTGTTCATCCACCCCTAACTGTTGTCTATTCCATTTAAGTTTTTCTTGAGCATTTTGCAACCATCCACCCCTCATTCATAGCACAATTCTTCAGCTTTGCATCCAAAGCCTATTGTGCTTCCACACTCAGTGATGTCTGCAATGACTCCTTTAACACACTAAATATAGAAGTCTCACAGACCACATTTATATTAGTGGATTAAACAGGAACATTCCCAGATACTGGAAGATGATAATCTATACTGTTAAATTGTTGGAACACTGGCACGATATTGACTGTGCCACCTAGCAGTCTCCCCAAAACCACTTTCAGGTACACAAGTTTTGGCCAGGGAAAAGGCCATTGTGTTTTGGGAGACTGAATTTACACAGCCTACTCCATACTGGTGAATCTCAATGTCAGGGAATGTTGCTGGTTATGTTTCATGTATCAGAACAGATATAGCCATTGTGGTCCAAGCAGTTCATGTGTCAAAATGACTGGGAATACATGGGGTCAGATAATGTAATCTTAAATTTAACTGCAATATGAAATGAGACAACTGGATGAAACAATGAAGAAGATACTAAAATGTTACCAGACAAAAGAGCTCAAATTACCTCTACTGGGTTTTTTGATCATCTCTAGAGGGATATTCCCACTTTGTTTTTTTTGAACTGGAGGAAGTTCCATAGACAGTGCTTCCACGTCAGGAAACTAGAGAAAAGTAAGAAAGAGGTCTCCTAACTAAACACTTAGAAAAAAACAGCAGACACTGCCCCACCCTCCACCCAAAAAAAAAAAAAAAAAGGAAAAAAAAAGGGGGGTGCAAAGGAAACAAATAAGCAGAACCAAAGTGGTAACTATAAAAAATATACATAAGTATACCTCAGATTCCAAAGTACATTTTTGGGGAGCATTTATCAGGTGAGATTACAACAGGAAAGTTCCCAAGGCCACCTTTAACCCAGGAGGGTTAGTCTTACTAATTCCCTCTCTAGTTAGCAGAGAGAGGTTTTTGAGGGGTAAGTGAAAAGACCCGAGGTTCAGCTTCTGCTCTGAATCAGATCCTCTCCAGAGTTTATGTAAGGAATGTACAGAGTTTGTACTCAATAAACATACACCACCTCCAAGACATGTTTCCTTTGACAAGGGCATATAATTCCCAGTGTTAATTCTTCCACAACTGTCCTCTGTAATGGTTTCTTGAGATAAATTGAGGCTGAGATGTAAACCCACAACTGTCTTTGCAGGAGTATGACAGAAACTACCTGGCCTAACACAAACTCATCCAGTTTTCAGTACATTACCTTTTTCAGGAAAAACTCCTTGCCGAATTCTGATTCAAAATATGGAGGAATTATTTTGTTTCTTATTGCCATTAAAGACTTCTTTTCTTCATCAAGTTCCTTCCTAAGAAATTTTTAACATTGTTGGTAAGGAAAAGAAAGAAAAAAGCATTATAACTGAGTTAACCCAGTTTTTCAGTATTATGTCTGAAACACTGAGGAATGGGAGGGTTAAAGGCAAGTGGCATTTTTTTTTTCTGGTTAATCACATTGAGCGATATTCTGCTAATTGGCAATTTTCTCAGTGATAGATCAAGAATGGGCCGGTCTGGCATGCAGAGAAAATGTCCTCCTCAGAAACTGATTTATGGAGGAGCTGATCAAAATGCATATCGACTGTGGGTTGGCTGCTATGAAGAGCTCCTCCTCAAAACATGCTCCAATTCTCTAAATCTTGTGGAACATGTCTGAGACTGCCAATAGTGTCTTTCCAACCTTCCAACAAACATTTAAATCTGAGAATTGGTATTTCAGATGCATTGCTAAAATTTATAATACAAAATTAATCTGATTTCCTTATTTTATCACAGAAAAACCTGGTGGCTCTCCAGATACAGTAAAGGCTGTTCAAACTTCTGAAGGTAAGATTTGTCAGAGTAAAGACCAGTTATATTTTCAGCTTGATTTAGTCCAGTTTTACACTACTATAGTTTCACTGGCTTGCAGGGTCTAATATCAGCTACGAAATTATCACTCTTAATCATATTGAGAGTTTTGACACTGGCTTTAGAGCCAGAATTGCATGATGTTCTTGGGTGCTGGCTACTTAGATATATATATTTAAAGTAATTCTTTAAATAGTATGCAAAACAGTGTAAAATGCTATACTAAAATATAAATCTGACATTATAAAACTTTTTTTAATCTCATGCAAGTCAGAAAGTAATTAAGAAGTAGTATGGAAGAGAACTTATTTTCAATTGCTATTTAACCTTTCACAAAAATAAAAAAGAAAAAGCAAGTTTCTGATCATAATATTAGTTCATCACCATTTCAAGTTATTCTGTTTAATCTAAGAAATAGTGAATGACCTAAATAGCTGTCAATATAATTAATTCCATTGTGAATGAATGTATGTTACTGATAACTTTCTCTATGTTAATCCTAGTTCATGTATCAGGTTTTCTATTTCTACATAAATTAAATGCTTTTTTTAATTCTTTAAATTTAAACAGTCATGCTTGGATTACACTGAAGAATTTGACATTCTATCAGATCCACAAAGCCCTTCCCTCTAGAACTGAAAATGTTAGTGGTTTTAACGCACAATGCTTAAATGAGAAGTTTTGTGTGGTACTACAGAATTATATAATGCAGCAATATAGTTATTTATCGCCATAGAATAAGAGTCTGTAAATTTACTTTCCAAAAAATCGTATTTTTCTCTCAGTTGATAGTGGCTTTGAGATTACTTGTATTTTTTTTCAAATGCTTTTGTGAATTACCATATCTGCAGATTGAAATCCAGTGACTTTTGATTTACAGCTGAGCAGAAATTCTCCTGAAAATTCATCTGATTGTGAAATGTACATTTTTAGCAATATATGCTGTTTCAAAGCATCTATATAGACTTTTTTCTTGAATTCATCAAACAGCTTCACCATTCATCAGTGGGAGAGAAAGGGCAATTTTTTAAAAACTTGAGAGTAAGTGAAGTAAAGGGGATTAGAATTAAAGTTGAGGGTCAGCCTTAAATACAACTTTAAGCGTTACAAAGATTTTTATGTTTATACACATACACACTTCCTCCTGTAAAAGCACTTCTAATCTGAAGATTATAGCACCTGCCTCAGAACTCCCATGACAAATGCTTTACAAACAGGAAATTGAGATACAGGTAATTCCCAGAGCGGAATGTTGAAATGTGGCAAAATGGACCTTGCTTTAGTAAGGCATTGATTTTTAAGATGACCCTAATCTTAAGGTTCTTCTTAAAGATAATGAGTTTACCTACTGTCCACATGTTTTACCTCCTAAAATGTCCTCGGAAATGCAGCTGCATTTCCAAGGTGTAAACCATGAGTGTACCCTGCACTTTATAGTGCACTCAACGATGAAGTGGGGAGGGAGAGAAACCTCAACAATCAAGTGAGGAAGCAGTGGATGTGGTAGGCAAGCAAAGGGCCTGGGGTGATGTGAACATAAGGGACATCACAATCAACAAAACAGGGCTGAATTGGGGTCACACCAAGCATATGCATGTAAATAAGGAAATGCCTATGGGATGGCATCATGGGGAATCAGCACGGCCGGGTGCCTCTCTGAAATGCCTGTACACTACTGCACGCAGCACAGGTTAAAAAAAAGGAGTAATTAGAAGTCTGTGTGCACTCACAGGGCTATGACCTCACTGGGATCACAGAGAAGTGGTAGGATAGCTCACATGACTGGAGTGCTGTGATGGATGGATATAGGCCCTTTAGGAAGGGCAGGCCAGGAAGGCAAGGAGGGGAAGTTGCCCCGTATGTAAGAGAGGAGCTGGAAAGCATGGAGCTCTGCCTGGGGATGGGTGCTGAGCGAACTGAGAGTTTGTAGGTTAGGATTAGTGGGCAGACCAACATGGATGACATTGTTGTGGGTGTCTGCTATAGACCAGCTTGATGAGGAAGAAGAGGTAGATGTGGCCTTTTTCAGACAACTGGAAGAAGCCTCACATTCATAATTCCTGGTCCTCATGGGGGACTTAAGCTACCCCGCCCACCGCTGGAAAGTGGCACTGCAGAGAAGGACCTAGGAGTCCTGGTGGACACCAAATTGCACATGAGCCAACAGTGTGCCCTTGCGGCAAAGATGACCAGCAGAATCCTGGGCTGCATGAGGAGGAGCGCTGTCAGCAGGTCTAAGGAGGCAGGGAGGTGAACCTTCCCCTCTACTCAGCACTAGTGAAACCACATATGGAGTACTGTGTCCGGTTTTGGGTTCCCTGATACATCGAAAGACACGGACTTAAAGAAGCAAGTCCAGAAAAGGGACACAAAGATGATTAAGGGCTTGGAGGATCTTTCATATGAGGAACAGCTGAGAGAGCTGGGACTGTTTTGCCTTGAGAAGCTTTGAAGCACCACCATGTGATAGACATGTCTCTGGGGTTCTATTTGAAAAATCAGCCAGGATTTGTGGAATACCCGAATCTCAACCTAAAGCATCAGCATTTTAAAATATTAATATAAATTACTTTCCATGCTGGTGGCAGAACCAGAAAACAGAACACAGGACTTCTGACTTCAGCCTTGTCTTGAATACCATAAATTAACAGTAACACTGCTAGGTTTTGAAAAAAATGAGACACGAAAACCATCCATTCAGCATTTCTGTTGCAGAAAACACCCCATTATTTGCTAGCAAACCACTGAACCACTACCCAAAACCTGGTGAAATCTGGAACAGTCTTTCCAAAAACAGACTTAAATTGGCTCTTAAAATAATTAACTTCCTGTCCTACTAATACTATTACCTGTACTCTTCTAGTCTGCTCTGCCACTTGGACACTGGTGTTACTCCTTCTGGGCTAAATGATCAGGGAAGAAAAAAGTAGTGAAAGTGAGAAAACTAGCATGATGTTTTATAAGCACAAAAATGTTTACAAGATAACCCTGGAAAGAGAGTATTTTTATTTTTATTTATTTTTATGAGAGTATTTTATATTAACATCTCAGGTGACTCCTGACTTGGGCTTGTATGGTTTGCTGCAAAATTGTTTGCCCATATCTGCATTTTTATTATATTATTCAACCAAAGAAACCCTCAAAATCCTTTTCCAACAAACTTTAAAGTATCTTTGAGATAAGGAAAGAAGAGGCACAGAGGGACAAAATAATCATAGGAAAAGCTAGTAAAACATTGGGATAGCTATCTAGAGATCTAGGTCCCCGTCCTTAATGACAGTCAGTAAAGTACTTTGCCTTGCCTGTGTGCTTGGTTCCATCCTTTGGATTATTTACATTTGCATCAGTTCTCACTGGTCTGTCCTACCTGAACTTCTGCCGTTGGTCCTCTCTTTGGGTAGTGATTGTCTCCTCTGTACGACACTGGCGATGAGAAGCCACTGCCCGTTCATACAGCTCAGTTATGTGAGCTGCGAAGTAAAGAGTATTATTGAATGTGCATGTTCTGGTAAGCACTGCTAAGTGTTATGAATAAAAAACATAAAAGGATATATTTTTAATGCACCTTTCTGTCACTTGATGAAAACCTAATAGATTCTTTATTACTGGGAGGGAAGAGGTAGAAAGATCTTCATTCCAAAATCAAGTCAGAACATTAACAGATAGGAAATTCAATTCAATGTAGAAAGAACCAGAAGCAGATTAAGTTCGTACCCCTACCCTGTATTTCCTGAAATATCTTTATGTTCTTTCAAGATACAAATCAAATGCCTGTGAATAGGGAAAGTTGCTGACATTCAGCCACTTTCTGACTGGGGAACAACATTCCAGGTCTCTATCTCCAGTGAAGAAAATAATATGGGCTTTCAGGGACCTTTATTACTTTCAGCTTACTTAAGTTGTGCTTAATTGTGGCTGTGAAGCAGCCATAATCAACAGCCTCATGGAAGGAACTACTAGTTCAATACGTATAATGGAAAAAAGCCAATCTTTCCATATGTAAGACTGTGACCAGCTTTGGGGCTTTACTAAAGAGTTTCGCTGTCCTCTGACATCTTCTATAAAATGTGTTGCTTAATTCATGCCTCACACCTAAACTGTGAGTCCAAAGAAATTTCCTTGGTTGAAAATAAATTTCCATGGGAAAATTTAGGAGATCTGAGTATTTGAGAGATATGATCCTATTTGATTATGACATCTCTTAGTGTTTTGGGAATTATGTAATTGCAAACTTCAAAATCAGTTTTTTGTTTTGGTTTGGTTTGGGGTTTTTTGTCAGCTTTTTCACCATAAAATATACTTTTATTTTCCTTCTTTTTCTATTTTTGCCTATATTAAAGAGCTTCTTTTTCACACTATCTTCTTCATAATGGTATGTTACAAGTACACCTCCATTTTAATTATGTTTTTAAATCAGGAAACTGTGTAGTATGCATTTGTTCCAGCAGTTTTCATTTACTTTGCACAGTATGCTTTTTTTAACAAGCAGAAATACTCTTGACAAAGCAGGAAGGGCAGAAGAATAACACTTTAAAGGCTAGCATCACTATGGGCTTGAATACTATGGATTTTGCTATAGAAAATGCTTATGGGTTTTAAAAGAAAAAAACATGTTAATTTTTATTTGTATCTATTGAAAACATTACTAAATGTTAACAAGTATCTTATAAAAACTTCAACAGAAATCCACAAGGGAAAACTAATACATTGTTCCATCTTTCCCTCAGGCAAGGTTAATGTAACGAAAACACATGCTCATTTGAGATCAGATTTTCAAGTGTAATAAATAACCAGGATTTATCCAGTTGCTTTGAAAAAACTTCTCTGAAAAGTTGATACTTGTATAAAAGTAACCAAGTACTGTCATAGTTCTTATACCTAAGAAAACTCAATACATGAGGAAATGTGAGTCAAAATGTCAAATACACCTGCCTAAACACAGGAACTGTTTTTCAGAGGTACTGAATCATTGATACTAACAAGTTCTAATTACCTGTGAAAATCACACAGAAGCACGTACATAGCACATAGATGAATTCACCTTTATGTTCCTTTTTTAAAAATAATACCACAGTACTTAAAAACTTACTACGATATTTTACAATTTTAAAAGATAGATATTCAATTTTTATTACCTCTATCACTGAGATTTTCAGTTGACTCCTCCCAGTTAGGGAAGGACTGCAATGAAGAAGGAATAACTGTGACCATGTGAGATACAGACCTCACAACAACAGCATCCTGTTCAAAGAATTTCTGTCCTAAACAAATGTTATGTTGTTACCCGAGAATGCGACTATAAGAATGGAGGTATTTCAGTGTGTTAGAAAAAGTGAGCTGGTGAAAAAGGAAATGAAGTACCATCTCCCTGGTCTAAATATGTATTTGTTTCCTTCTTGATGACCTACTTCACAGATGGCTTCGTATTTTATATGGCTGCTATTTATTAAATCAACTAAGCCAGTTCATATTAAAACTCAAATCCTTCTGCAAAGGATTTGAATCAGATCTAAAACTCATGGTCACAACAAAGAGTCAAACGGGAAATATGTTCAGGAATTTGTAGGCTTCATTACTGAGGAGGTCTCTTGTGGTTGCTTTACAGTAACGTGTTTGAGGGGTAAGAGACTCTAAACTAAGCTGTTTACTTTATTCTTATGCTGTCCCTGAAGCAGTTAACTGGAAACCAGAGTTCCTGTGACTAGGCAGTCTAGGCTCTAACAAAGCTGGGGAACAGCAGAGACTAGGGAGGAGTGTGACACCGATTCCTGGGTCGCAGCAGGTCCACACTGAGGCTCTACTGCTCAGAAAAATAGTTGTCCAATGTGAAATCTGTACTTGGAAATGTGCTTATGGTAGCTGGTACAACCAACAATAGTCACTAGACAAGTCCATTGGAACTGGGCAGCATGTGAGATTCAGCACCTGGATCTCATCAAAGCAAATAAATGTCTGCCTAGAGGATAGAGGCAGGTGAAATTACTGATAGATCACTTCTCTGTGTTCCTCTTTCCAGAAAGGTTGTGAGTTCCTTCCTGGTTTTTTGCTAGATAATTTCTTTACTCTCTTTTTAAAACTTGTATGTCACTTGAAAGTACTGAACAAGAAAATATACAGAAGCTTGTAATATAAAAAAATAGGCTTTAGTTGCAGAAAATGAAAATGCTAACTTGTCTAAAAAGTTCAGAGACAAATTCTAGAATTACATGGGTTTTTTTTAAGCTTGTAAGGAAAAATAATAATAAAGTTATAGATCTATCCAGAAAGCTAGGAAAAAGAAATTAACAGCATTTAAAACTAGAAAGATCTCATGCCTGATGTTTTTGCATGTTGAGACAACTTTTAAAAGGTAGACTCTAAGTCTAAGATTATGTTTGTTTGCTAGAATATACTCACTTTCAAAAGGTGGAGAGATCATCTGGTAATGAATATTCAAACTACACGGCTATATTTTATTTCCCAAATGTCAGATTTCTTAATTCAGTATGTTTGAATTCACTATATACTTGTTACTTGATTAAATGGAAATAAAAGTGTTTATTAAATGAGACTAAAAAAAGAAAACAGTGTTTAATAACTACTAAAAATCTAGCACGTGAATTCACATCATGCAAGCTACCAAACAAAAGGAAGCTGTAGGAAACAAATAATTTAAATAACTGAAATAGAGCAAACTGAGGACTCTTTACATAAGATGTAAACAGCGTTTCTCTCATTCATCCTAATTCAGCCCACCCACTTATGCTGCTTGAACTTTTCTAATGTTTTTTACCACCTATCTCCCACTAACCTCATTGTTTCTTGACTGCTACCCCCAAGTCCAAAAAAAATTTTACCACCTTTCCCATTCCTTATTCCCCTCCCTTTTCTTTTCACGCTCTAATTAGCTGTGCAAATTAGGAGAGCACATTTTCCAAAAATATAAATGCTACTCAACATTGTAATAACAATATGCCTCCAGATTGTTTAAACCCCAAAAGCAGGGTTTAAACTCTCACTGTGGAGGTGGCTGTGGTTGAAATACAAGTCTCCCAGCTGCAATGACAACAGACCGGAAACATTCTCATCCTAATGTTGGGGGATATACACATTTTAGTAATTTTGGCCTGTGTGTTTGGGAATGTATCATTCTGTAGAGCCAAACTCCTGAACTGTTTTGAGCAGTGCTTCCCCAAAATGGCAGTAGTGCCATTCAGTAGCCCAGCTGAATGCTGAGAGTGGCTCTGCTTTATCATTAAACTACAGCAGAGCAGGCACTGTGCTATCCTAACATTTGCTATTTTCTTAACAGATAATGCTGTGTTTTAAGGCTGACACTTCCAATGCAATACAATGGTTTTGTTGGAAAAAATAGTTTAAAACTGTATTTTTCTCACCGTAACCAGTTCAAGGAGACTTGCAGCATTCTCCTTTTCCTCTTCTGTTCTTGGTTCTTTTACATTCATCTCTTCCAGCTCATTTTCCTGCTTTAAAATGTTGTCTATATATTCCTGGTGGAACAATGAAAAAGAACAAGAAAGATGCAGATGTTTTTTTTGCAGAGGTAGACTTAAGGGACACATATATAGAGAAAAGAGTTTGTAGAAGTAATGGACGTATATGCTTCTTCTCAATGTCATAAAGGCCCCTTCTGTGAACTTGTGTGAATGGGTTATATACATATCTAAAGGTTGGCATAGAGAAATCATTTTTAAAAAACCCAACAGGTCAAAGAGAGGAGTACTTGCTGAGAAGGTAGCAGGTGAAAACTTACCAAGGACTAATCAACTCTGAAGACTAGCAAGACTATTGAATCTGCAAAAACTAACATATTAAGGACATCAAGAGTCTGCTGAATCTCTACTAGGCCACTAGCACACATTAGCGTCCACAATGAACTGTGTGACTCGGACCACATCCAACAGCTATCTAGATGCCCCTGGTGCGTCAGTATGACCCCCTGCTTCTGAGTAGGCAGGTAGGTTTGGCCTCCCAACTGTTGCACCAGCCAGCAAGTATGAGCGAGCATGCAAGTGTTTGAGTAAACGATGTGAGTGAATAAAGGAATGTGATGAGTAAATATCTGCTATTAATAACAATCAATTATATTATTAAGATCAGCTTAATGAATAAAAGGTGTTCTAACAAACATTGTGATCTGTATCTCCCTCCTGTTTGATCTCCTATTAGGGAAAAGGAAATTCACAACATCATAATTGAAAAATTAGGTTCAGAAAAAAATCTGAAGCTCTGTTTTTAGACAGATGTTTACTTTGCCAGAATCACACTAAGTGCTACAGAAAAGAACACTTTTCTTTTCCCAACTTCTTTATGCTTTAGAAGATCAGTTGGATGGTAAAAAAGGGTCCTTACAGAAGATTGTGCTAACACACCACCCTGCTAGAAAGTTACATGCAATACTGAGCTTTATGAATATTCAAGGTTTGCAGAAACAATCTGTTTCCAGTTCCAGTTCTTTTTCATTCCTTTACACCTCTTAAATCTTAAAGGAGATGGAGAAAGGAAGAATATCTTTTTCTTTAGATCTTGATTTAGTTTTGACAAAGTGAATATTTGGCTAAAGATTTAAGACACCTCTTTGTGGAAAAATCCATTTATTAAATATTGATATATGAGCAATGAGGATATTTCCATTGCACATTAACGCAATTATTACAAATGTTTTCTCAGTGCCAATAATTGCAATTCTTCCTTCCCAATGTAACAAACTTTCTTTCTCTAAAAGCCAACAACAGATCTTGTCAATGCAGAGACTTACCTTGGGATTTTGGTGTGGAACTTTTAATAGCGTTGCCTTTGAAAGATCAATATGCAAATTAAATAAAAATTTTTATATATTTATAGACTGCAAAAGGGTAAAATTTAATTCTGATAGACTGGCATGTCCCAAATATGCCAGGGCTGAACAGCTGTCAATGTTTTTCTATTACAAGCATGTCTTCTTTGAAATGTAATGTGGAAAAGAAAAAAAAAGAAAAAATTGAACTGGCTACAACATGCTACTACCTTCACAAATTTCACATGCTGTTAACATTCAAATTCAGTCTGCAATACCATCGTCAAAATATGTTAAATGAATAAATTATAGAACACATGTATTTCAGTATTCTCTAATTGGTAAGTAATAATGAGTTTTTAACTCTAAAATCTCTTCTAAGAGCATCTTCACAATGTGAATTAAATAAATCAATGTTTTATACCAAAACTGAGAACTATGAAGCTGCTGACAAGTATCAACTGCAGAACTTTCAGATTCCATCTCAGAACACTTGCACGAGGTGTAGCTTGCAGCTTGTTATGAACCAGTCACTCATGAGGGATGGACACACACTTTGTCAGAAGGCTACAGAGCTATTTGCTAGACATGGATAGAGTGACAGAACTCAGACTTGAACCTGGAAATGTTCTGTACTGATTTATGAAAACAAATATATAACCAAAACTAGAGTGCATCTCAGTGACCCAGTCACCAAGTTAACTGTAGCATTATGGTGCATTAGAAATTCTTGTACAACTTTATAGATTTAAGTTTTTAAGGCTTAAGTGAAGGAAAAACAAACTCTAAGCAAAGTAAAAGCAAAGTAATAGATATCAATATTGACAGAAAGGAAACTATTTTAATGTACTATCTGTGATGCGTACTGGACCGGATCCCATGTATTTGTGCAGAAAAGTAGGTTCCACAAGAGATGAGTGAAAACAGTTGAGCTGCTTCAGAAATACACTTTTAGAGCACCTGTCTACGTATGAAGTGCTGATTGTTCTTCAAAAGTAGCAGAATTTTTGTCTCGGGCATATACTGAAAATTCGCGTCACCCAATTTGTCTGTTCTCTATTGCTCGCTGGAAGAATGAGTAAATGTAATTGTACTACCTTAAGGGAAAACTGCAGCTTTTCTCTTAGTTCATCGCTGAGTGGCTTGTACTGCAATAGCTGACGGATTTGCAGTTTATTAGGACATTTTCGCACACATACTGGCAAGCACATCTGCTCTTTGGATCCAATGCAGAGACCCCTCCAAGTATGTGTTCTGACCGAGGGACCCGTGATCTTCCTCTGAACATAGACAAGAACAAGCAAAAAGAGCAAGAGGCTACTTATATTACTGACTAAATGCAGATATCGGCAATGTGTGTCTCAGCTGAAGAGCACATGCTGTCCTTATAGCATCATAGATCTAGGCAATAAAGTCAGTAGACTCTTGGGCACAATTTATCTATTCTAAAACTTCTTCATCTGGCAAGATGAACTCCTCTTAAAATTGCTATATCACCTTACTGAGAGTAGAAGCCACCCAAGGTGACTACGTTTTCCCTGACACAGCCTGCCCCTTGCTTTGCCTGCTTAGTAAACTGGACTTAACAATGTCACATTTTTTAGAGCTCCATCTCCCACCGTGTGACAAACATCTATTGCTTAAGCAGCAAAAGACTATTTCGAAACAATTATACCTCAAGAGCAGAAGATGTGTCCCGGGTCCTTGACTGAAGATTTGGAGGAACAATACTCTCTGGTTCTTTCTTCATTACCCAAGGGGAGGTTTCAGCCAAAGGGCAGAGGACAGTAATACTTAAAACACCTGGTTCAAACACATTTTGCTAAGAATCAGTTCAAATCCAAAAATGATGGAAAAAGTGTCTCAAATCTTCAGAAAAATATACTTACCTAAGTATAAAACCCCTTATTATCAAGTGGTAAAACTCCATGTGAAAATGCGATACTCGTGGCTACAGATAATATCGGACCACTGAGGTGATTATAGAATAGTTGGACAAGTTCAGATTACTCAGACCATGTTTAACAACAGACTGCCTATGGTACTTGCTTTGAGTCTTGGGTAACAGCTCAGTTGTATAGTGTGTGGAGTATCCCAAACAAGGAAGAGCAGACCATTGACCCATGTTTACTGAATACTAATCTCAGAAGTACATCATATTCAGAACATGCATAATTCTTCCCTGTATTTTATACTTCACAATGTGATCACTGATGGATTACATTAGAGATCATTTATTATGTCTTTTTATTGTTCTGATTAATTTTAATGTTCTTCAAAATATTTTTTCCAACCCAACCCAAAAATCTACTTACTCTACTATTATCTACCCCATAGGTGGCCTTCAAAATGGATATGACCACTGAGGTACTTTGTCACAATGATACAAAATTGTAGTGCCTTGGTGTCAAGGCAAATAGAGCCAGGATTGAGAAAGGTAGGTTATGAAGTCTGGAGAAGCACATCTGCTACTATTACAAACGACTGCTGGTTGTGAGCAGGTTTTCTTCACTGGGAGTTTCACTGGGTATGTATCTTCTGTATCTTCCTGATCTTTCCACCTTCCCTATCTTTCTGTCTCCCTCAGTGCCCTTTCTCTTTTCCTTTTCTCCTGGCAAAATTATTTCATTCAGTTTATACAATGGGGAACCGGTCATTATTGTGAATAGAAGCAGCATTTAAAAATGGGCAAAACCTGATAAGAGTAGTAGGTGGGAAAGCTGTTCCCCATGCTTATGATATAAATCTTTGAGAAGAATGTCTTAGTACTTTATGGCTTGAAGCAATCCATCCTTATCATCCCCCCATATCCAGGGGAACCATACATTCCTGTCTTTTTAAAGATATATTTATCTTCTTAGGATTTACCTGTTACACCACAGCGTATTTTATGGAAACATAGTATCTCCAACTAACTTTACAATGATAACCAATCATTTCAGGACATAAATTCTTGTATTGCTACTACGAGGTGGTTGGTGCCATGTACTTTTGGCATCCCCTATTTCAGTCATATTTTTCCAGTTTCTTAATAACATATATTTATCCTTTCCAACAGCCAGACTAAGGGTCAACATCAGAGTATCATTGTCTTCATTGATAAATAGAGCTATATGACTAATGAAGACTGTGATACATTCAATGTTTTTTGATGGTAAATACACAGAGAATCTACGCATTTGGTAATCGCTTTTGTTTGCGTGAATGAGAGCAGATAAAGATATGCCAGTTGTTTGTTCATTTATCCCTTCACAGTGTCATTCAGTTAATTCTCTGCTTCCCAGAGTTTTCCACAAGCTCCTCCTTCCCCATGCTTCACTGCCAGAAGTGTGGGGGCCTCTCTACACGGGGAAAAACATTTTCAAATTTCCTGTCCAAATAAGGATTTTGAAACTTCTGACTCCATCTTTGTAATTATTTCTGTTATTAGTTTGTCAGAAAAGAAATAAAATTTTCCTACCTGGATGTTCTTGTACAGGATCCTGCAAGACAGCAGCAGCGGGATCACTACAGGCTCCACCAAGATACTTGTGTACATCCTTGCTCCGCAGGAGCTCGGTTCCAGAACCATCCGCGTAGATGATGAAGAACCTACACAGCCAGCCACACACATTGGATTGTATCGGACTAGGAGGCAAGGCGTTGGCAGCAGGGGTCTGCAGGCGGCCTCTGTGAGGAGAGGCCAGGGGCTGCCCTGTGCTGGACACAGACGGTCCCAGCTGGCTCCAACAGACCCCGCAGGGCACAGCTGAGCCAAGATGGTGGCACCTCAGGGAAAGCGTGTGTAAGAAAGGGCAAAATGCCACACAGGCAGTGATGAGTGAGGGAAAAAGTATGAGAAACAGCCCTGCAGGCACCAAGGTCAGAGAAGGAGGGGGGGGAAAGGGTGCTCCTGGTGCCAGAGCAGATATCCGCACTGCAGCCTGTAAAGGAGACCACAATGGAGCAGGTATTCCCCTACAGCCTGTGGACAGGACCACGCCAGTGCAAGTCGATGTTTCCTGAAGGAACTGCAGCCCATGGAGAGCCCATGCTGGAGCCATTTTAACCAAAAGGACTGCAGCCCATGGGAAGGACCCACGATAGAGCAGGGGAAAAGTGTGAGGAGGAAGGAGCAGCAGAGAGGAGCTGTTATGGACTGATTGCAACCTCCCATCCCCTGCGCTGCTGAGGCAGTGATGTTGAGCCTGAGAAAAAGAGGGGATGGGGGAAAATGTTTTAGTTTTCATCTTCATTTTGCACCATCCAACTCTCCTTTAATCGGCAATAAATTAAATTAATTTTCCCCAAGTTAAGTCTGTTTTGCCTGAGATGGTAATTGGAAAGTGATCTTCCTGTCTTTATCTTGACCCATGACCTTTTGCATCTTATTTTCCTGCCTTATCCTGTTGAGGAGGGGGAATGAGAGAGTGGCTGGGTGGGCGTTCGGGAGCTGGCCAAGGTTAACCCACCACACTGATCAAATGCAATGGCTTTCAAATTGCATTCTTTTCTAGATGACAAAAATGAAAAAGTACTGTGATGACATGGCAAGAAAAATGGAACTCTAAGATGATGACATCAAATGTGCAGATACAGAGTACTGAACAAAGGAAGCACAAATCTACAAACCCTGTACAAATACAGTGTAGTGAAGAAAGAAAGTGTAAACCTATGAATCCAGTGCAGTTCACCTGGGGACATGCTCATCATAAGTGATAGGTTTGTTAACTTCTGGGAGTGCTGATGCTGAACTTCTGTCTTCCTTTTTATCAGAGCCAATGCTAGGAACACACACAGATGTGCTGCCATCAGCCATGACCTATAACAGAAATTATATAAGATGACTTGAGTTACATGATACATTTAAAACAGTAGCTTGCTGCTGAATAATTACATAGTATATACATATATACTCATATATAGATGTATATATAAATATCAGTGTGTATATATATAAATGTGTATATACATACAGGTGTGTGTATGTATACAGGTGAATGTATGTATAAATATATACCCCTATATATACACACATTTATATACATGACCTATGAAGAGATATAAATTTTATATATATATGCATTATATATATTTATCTATCTACATATATATACCTGGTGTATATATGTATATATAAATATATACACATCTATATACATGTTGATATATGAAGAGATATAGATAGATATAGATACATATTATATATTTATATCTATCTACCTATATACACCTATAGATATATTTAGGTATATATGTATAAAGGGGTCCCTTTTTAGGCACTTATTCACTTTAAAAATATGGTCTCAGATAATCTTATGATAATACTGAGTGAATTTCTACAGTATTTCCTTCTTGTGATTATTAACTTACATGCCATTAACATATGCACACAAGGTATATTAATGCTTCTAATTCTTAGTGTAGTCAGTTGAAGGATAGATGCCTTTGGAAGATAGAGTTTAAACCAGAATGATTCAAAGGGCAGCCCATGAACTGAATCTGACACACCCAGTCCACGCCCATTTCGCTGTAGTCTCTGGTGTGACTAGGACAGAGGAAGAACCAATCCTATTACACCTGTACCTGGTTGTCATCCCTACCAACCATTAATCTCACCTTTCTTACTACACGCCCCCATATCCCCTCTGATCACTGCTCCCACAACACCTTCAACTGTCCCACAGCCTCCTCAACCTCCTTCCTTTGTTCCCTAAGTATCAGCTGAGAAAAAGCAGGATGTTGACGCCAAGCGACTTCTGTGCTGCTTTGAATTGCATTGATTTTGTAGGAACTTGATATCTTTGAAATTTCTACCCCTCTGTTGATTAGCTCAAAATTTGTTAGGGAGAGATTGACAGATAGCATAGATTTATGTAAGCACTGTTTCTTCAGTCTAGGAAACCGGGTTAAAAACTGTATTATAATGCATATGTCCAGTGGAACCTCAGTGCTGTTTCACAGGAATCTGGGAAAATGGTAATGATTACAATTGCAACAATAGAAAGTATAGTCTAAGGATGTCACATTTAGAATCTTTAATTAGAACCTTTAATCAGAAAACAGTATATAGGTCACAGACACTTAGATGATGTTTCCTGAACTCAAAACTAAGTACTAACCTAGCTCAAAAAGATCTCTTAGGTGTGAAAGGATCACAGCACAATCAGTATGACTTTAAAGACTGAATCATTCCTTTTACAACAATATTTGCCTTACCAGGCAGATTAGAGTGTTTCTATGGACCTTCTGAAAAGCCAATACCTCTCTCATTTTTAATTCTCATTTGCAGAGATGATTTTTTGCTATAAGACAGGTCATGCTAATTAAGATAACTTTACAGGTGAGGTAAACTGTAGACCATGTGGTTTATTTCAATCTCTCTAAAAAGGGGGAAATACCAAAAAAGGGAAACCCATCACATCCTCCAGAACATTCCAGAGACCTGATTAAGGAGCTGTTCTTTCTGGCTAGCTACTTTAAGAATAAGTACTACAAGGCTACAAGCTGACTCTAAGAGATGTTTATAAGATAAAATAACTTAAAACGCAGAAACTTGTTTCCTTCCATGTATTTTACCTTGAAAAGATTTCCTTCAGGATCCATCATCTCACAAATAGTGCTGGAAGTGTGTTTCATAATGTATCTCCCTGCTTGTTTCTCTTCTTTCTTGCTGATGAAATTGTAAACTTCATGGGTATAAACTGCTGAGCAATCTTCATCAATGAAAAGAGAGCCTGTCTTGATGGGTAAAACCTATCATAGTAAGAAAGGAAGAGGATCAGTCCTGAAAGGTGAAAACTTCAGTTTAGAGGTATCATGAAAATGAAGAACAGATGCAAATCAAAAGGAGAGCTCTCAGACCTTTACTACTGAATCATCCAGTTTTGAGGGACTAGAGGAAGAGAAAGAAGGAAAAGGAAGTCCAAGAGTTAGGCTGATATTAGTCTCTGTAATATTTTCTTTAACGTCAGGAAATTTAAGCTTGTGATTTAAATATACTATACAGTTGTGAGGAAATATCATAGAATCATAGAATATCTCAAGTTGGAAGGGACCCATAAGGGTCACTGAGTCCAACTCCCTGCTCCTCGCAGCACTACCTAAAACTAAACCATATGACTAAGAGCATCATCCAGACTCTCCTTGAACTCTGACAGGCTTGGTGCCATGACCACTTCCCTGGGGAGCCTGTTCCGGTGCCTGACCACCCTCTCAGTGAAGAACATTTTCCTAATGTCCAATCTGAACTTCCCCTGACACAGCTTCATTCCATTTCCTTGTGTCCTAGTGCTGGTCACCAGAGAGAGAAGATCAGCACCTCCCCCTCCGCTGCTGCCCTTGAGGAAGTTGTAGACTGGGATGAGGTCACTCCTCCGCCTTCTCTTCTCCAAGCTGAACAAACGAAGTCACCTCAGCTGCTCCTTGTAAGGCCTTGCCCTCGAGACCTTTCACCATCTTGGTCACCCTCCTCTGGACACACTCTAATAGATTGATGTCCTTCTTATATTGAGGCGCCCAAAACTGCACACAGTACCTGAGGTGGGGCCACATCAGTGCAGTATAGAGTGGGACAATCACCTCCCTCGACCAGCTAGCTATGCTATGCTTGATGCACCCCAGGACATGGTTGGCCCTTTTTGCCACCAGGGCACACTGTTGACTCATATTCAACTTGTCATCCACCCAAACCCCCACACCTCTTTCCACGAGACTGTTCTCCAGCATCTCGTCCCCCAATATGTATGTATAACCAGGATTACCCTGTCCCAGGTGGAGAATCTGGCACATGCTCTTGTTAAATTTCATACAGTTGGTGATTGCCCAACTCTCTAGTCTATCCATATCTCTCTGTAAGGCCTCTCTACCCTTGAGGGAGTCCACAGTTCCTCCTAGTTTAGTATCATCGTCAAACTTACTTAATGTACACTCGATTCCTGTGTCCAGATCATTTATAAAAACATTATAAAGCACTGGCCCTAAAATCGAGCCCTGGGCAACCCCACCGGTCACTGGCTGCCAGCCTGATGTAAACCCATTTACTATACCTCTTTGAGCCTGACCCGTCAGCCAATTGCTCACCCAATGTATTATGGACTTGTCTAGCTGGACATTTTGTCCAGAAGGATACTGTGAGAGACAGTATCAAAAGCTTTGCTAAACCAAAAAAACCCCACATCTACTGGCTTCCCTTGGTCAACTACATGGGTGACATTGTCATAAAAGGAAATTAAGTTAGTTAAGCAGGACTTCCCCCTTGTGAACCCATGCTGGCTATGACCAATGACTGTATTGTCTCTCAAGTGTTTTTCAATAATTCCCAGAATAACCTTCTCCATAATTTTACCAGACACTGAAGTGAGACTGACAGGCTTGTAATTACCAGGGTCTTCCTTCTTACCCTTCTTGAAAACTGGGACAACATTTGCCAGCTTCCAGTTGAGTGGGACCTCTAATATCTAAATATTAGTAGAGTATAAAAGAGATGGAATCATAGGATTTGTGAAAGCTATAGAGAAGGGAGTTAAAATAGTCAAGGTGAGAGACGCTGATGGCAGGGAACTTGGAACACAAAGATACATTGCACTGTCACAAACTAAAAATAATTCCCACCTGATATGTTCCCTGTGGCTTTGCTATAATAGATGTCCCATCTCCAAAGATGGTACAACAGGTACCGTCCTCACAATTTGTTATAACAGTAGCAAACTCAGGATTCTCTACTTGCATACATTTCACCTTCCTTGTGATGGCTTCTGAGGGTTCATCTAAGAATTAATACAAAACATCTAGACAGGAGCACATGAACCATGGAAAAGTCCTAGGAACCGATTTGCTTTTTCTCTCATAAGGCTGGACCTTTATCTCCTCAGTAAAAGACCCTCAGACTTCATAACATTCTTTATCACTTAATTTTATGTTAGGTAAACAATATGCAACTCTCAAATTTTTGGACTGTGCACTGAATATAGGAAAATCAAACAGCAAAAAATGTCTGTAACCATCCATGGCTGGTGTGGTCAGGAGAGTACTCTCTAATTTATCAAGTACAGTACTAACCGTAATGATCTGGATATTTGTAACATACAGGTTGGACCACTGGAATTTTTTATGCCTGTGACACAAGCTCTAAGATGTGAAGAAATTCCTTTCCAGCAGCAGAAGTCAGGGAAAACAAATCAAACTGGTATGTTAATCTGACCATTGCCTTCCCATTGAATAGACAGACCAGTTCAAGGTCATTGTTTTGATTTTTAAAACCACAGGGAGGTGCTCCACAACTTTCTACTGTGTTTGAACACAACAGTCCTGACACCCACACAGTAAATATACACTTCATGTTAATTACAGAACTTATCCAGCAACTGAACTAAGCATACAGAATATACTGCCAGCCAAAAGAAACACAGATGACCATTAGCCCCACTTGTTTCAGGCGAATGTAGTTTCATTTCTACTAGGTGTGGCATTTTCCATGGCCATATTCAATCAAATTTTGAATACCTCCAAGGTTGGTGAGTCCATGGCCTCTCTGGGGAATATGAGGATGCCCTGGTCCTCATACACCTATTCAGTTAAGACTCAAATCAGCTTGCTTGTTGTATCAGAGTAGGTGGAGCGCGGGCAATGAACATATTAGAGCTCAGGCACTGTGGTCTCCTGGTGAAGGTGGGTCGTGTAAGTACATACATGGAAAGAAGGAAATTTGCTTGTTTGCTACAAGGTAATTTTTGCACTGAATACTGATGAAAAAAAGACCAAGCAAACTAAGCCTAGACTGCACTAGTGGATTTGTTATATAAGCTACTGGTATGACCCTTCTTTAGTATATTTTGACAATTATCTGCCTCACAAGATATAGCAGAGATACGTGCTCCCCTTTTGATTTTACCTGTTTCCTCACTATCCTCTGGTACAAAAAGTTCTTCACAGTTTTGATAAAAAGTCGTGATCCTAGTACCATCAGCATGATCCACTACTCTGCTACCATCCAGCTTCTCAACAATTATCACTTCATCGTCTCGTACAGTCATAACCTAAAAGAATGAAGGAATAGTCATTTATATTAGCTCTGTGATACTTGTGAAAGTTACAACAGCAAAACAAGGCATTATGTACTGAAACTCTGATTAAGCTAGACTACTGCAACTTTCTCTATTTCAGAGACCGAGGACTCGCATTTTCTTCAAAACCTAAAGCTTTTGTATCAGTTACACTGTAATAACACAACTTGTAGGATATATGTTCAAAGAACAATTCCTACCACTTATATGATGGCAGCCCTGTCTCTTAGCTTAGTAGACAGTGCTATAACAACACAAAAATAGTAATACCGTTCCATCAGCTGGGTCAGTTGCCTGATAGATTAAGAGTGGCTTCAGATCCATTCTCTTTGCTCCCTCAGTGCCCACTCGAATGCCTGATGGAGTTGTTGTTATCCAGGTTCCTGCCTGATTCTCCTTAGGTTGCTCAGAATTAACCAGACCCTGCACAGCATTTTCAAACAACTCGTCCTTGTTTGATACACTGTTTCTGCCACTGCCTTTTCCTGCAGAAACAAAAATTACTGTATCAGACTTGGTATTCTATAAGGCAAAAGACAAAATCAATAAAGTGAAGAGTTTCTGTGAGTATTGGTTTTGACAGAATTGAAAGAACTATTTATCACGCTGGAGGAAAATTACAAGTGCTGTTACTCAAAGGTGTGCCCTTGAACTAATCTTATTGAATGTGTTCATTAATGACACAGGAAAAGTAAATAGCATGCTAAGGACATCTGATTATGACATGACTTTGGAAAGGACTATCAGTGCAGAAGAAAATCTGAGTGGATTGCAGGAAAAAAAAAGCATCCAAAACTGTCCCATGAGCTTGAAGATTAAAGGAATTTGATACAGCCTATTAGAATGAAATTTAATGCAAAAAGGAATAAAAATAATTTACCCTTCAGACAAGTTTGCCACAGTAGAATGAAAGAAAGACCTGGAGGTATCATCCATACAGAATGACTACAAGTTATCAGTGTGAAAATATGGTGACAAGAAAGGCAAACACAATCCTATGGTGCATCAGAAGAAAAGAGATGGAAATTTAATTGTGAAAGGTAATGGAGAGATCTTATTAAGAATGTGATAGAGAACTCTGGTCTCCCATATTCAAGAAAAGGAACTTAGACTAAGTGTATGCAGAAGACAACAGCATAGACCAGAGAGGAGTCTAAAAGACTTACAGAATATACATGCTAGCAAAAAAAAAAAAAAAAAGCCAAAAAGAGATGAAACTTTTCACTATAAATTTGTCAAGACTAAGCAGTGGAGAGGAAAGGTGGGAGGAAAAAGTGATCATAAATAAAGGATAAGGAATAAAGGATATATGCTGGGACAGATACTGAGACTGAAAATTAGAAGATGGTTTGTCAGGGAAGTTCTCAAACATCCTTCTAGTTATCCTAAGGAATATCCTAAGAACAAGATCTGGACTTGATGACTTGAAAGACTCCTTTTTGAGATATTTTTCTCTTTGGCAGCAATTTTTATTCACATACTTCCAATAAATTATACGTTAATATTATGACAGGTCATAATTATTCTTTGCACTAAGTAGCACTGACAGTGGTCTTGGAGTACACTCTGAGGTATGAAGCAAACTTTTATTTGGTTCTTTCTCAGCCAAACAAAATAACGTAAGAATGGTTATATTGGGACAGACTACAAGTCCATACAACCAATTAATAACGACCAATAGTAGATGCCTTGGAATACATACAACGAGAAAGAAAAAAATAGTAAGTCCTCTGTGAGAGAAGCATTTCTCAATACCAAGACTAAAAACTGTGTAACACATAAGTAAGTTTTTGACTCCTGTAGTTACAAGGATTTCTTTTAAAATACTTTGTGTTGAATCACTCTGCTACCGAGTGATTTGAAGTGTAGTTCTTACACATCCTTTTACTTATTAGAGTCCTAGCACTTTAGAAGAAAAAGAAATCTGGAGTAGGAGAGAAATGATTTGATATGAAGGTAACAAATTAGCAGTGTGCAGCAGCTGAGTACAGATAAAATTGCATTTTCACACTGGCAAATTTTCAGACTAAAGAAATATGCCTTTTATTAAGTATCATCAGCCCTGCTAACTTTAAATCTGTCCAAAACCATTGGAAATGTTACCTTTCTTAGTGCTGGTCTCAGGTGAAGGCTCCATTTCTGGTAACGGTTGCATGTTATCTGGAATTGTAAGTGGTGGTAAAACAGGGCCAGAATCAGGACTCCTACTCACTGTGCCATCAGCAAACAGAATCTACAGCAATCAGGGACATACTAGAGGTTAAAATCATTTCAAACACCAGTAGAAAGTCTCAAAAGAATGTGTCACAAATGCAAGAGTCACTAGAATGTTGTAGGTGATGGAAGGGAAAAAAGTAAAAGACTCTCAGAATGAATACAAGAAATAAAGAAGCCATCTTCAAAAGAAAGGACTGCTAATTGCTGCAGTTCAAGTATATAACTACTGGAGACTCTAGTAACATATAAGCATTATAAAAGTAAACAGTAAAGATTATTCTTTGATTGTTTAAGTGGTGAAAGGCTGATGACTTTTTTTTTGTAGCAGTGGTAATGCATCTGTATCACCATATTGATCTCTATTCAGGTATTCCACATGTGTAGGATTGCTGTTAATTTTTTAGTCATCAAGACAGCTAACAAAAAGAAGTCATAGTTATTTATCTTATTACAGCTGGTTTCTGAGATCTATTGTCCATTACACTCAACTCCTCATATGCATGTTTCCTGTGTAGCAGGGAACAATCGTCTCTGAATTCATTTACAAATACAGAACAGACATTCTAGGGAGAAGACAGTACAATGTGGAAAACAAATGGACAACATATAGAAACATCTCAAGAGTTACAGTTACTGTAAGGTAATTCACTATTTCTTCTTTTTTGAATGCTTATCTATATGCAATACATTCTTGATGAGTCACAAACATTAAGTTAATATAAAGAAGGACACACTCATAAACTGCTTATACAAAGACTATTGTACAATTATGCTACGCGCATAAGATCTATGTTCTTCTGTCAAGAGACAGTGTGTTGAGAATATATAGACATACAGCAGCTAGCTTCTTTGCATACTTCTGAAATGGATATGTTTCTCAGAAATCCTGGCTAAATGGTTTAAGATCTAATGTAATGAATGATTGTAAAGAACTTGTACTAGGAGTTGTGGTCTACTTAGAAAAAAAACCTGAGGAAATAAGGAATTATTTTGACAGTTTCTGAGTTAAAACAGATGACTCCTCTTTTCATCTGTTTGCTAACTACACACAGAGTCTTAGACTTCAAAAGACAGTTGCTTGTAGATTGATTACAGTATCTGCAAAGATGGTACCTAGCCTATAGCACCTAAAAGGTACCAGAATTCTGGGCAACCTAAATACATGTAAACAAAGAAGGTACTTAGGAATATAAAGTCTTTTTGATGAAAATTTAGGATACCTAAAGGTGTCTGCAGGACTGAAGAATAGTTCAGGTCTTTTCTGGATCCTGTATGACTGTTTAAATGACTGAAAAATATATGGATGCTTTTTTGTGTTGCCAAAAATACCCAAAGCCTAACTAATCCACACTTCAGATGTTTAAGACCACATTCAGCTATTTCCTAATCCAAAGTTGCCTAAAATGTTCACATGCCTAAAATTTTCATCATTAAATCTCCCTATGTGCCTTAAGAGCATTTTAGTCTTGACATGGCTGCATAACTCAGTGGTTACTTAACTCCCTCGTCTATAAACTGGACACTTCTCTATCTCAGTTGACAAGCACAAGTTCAAGGGTAATCGCACACGCAGGCTGCTTTCAATGAATTCTACTAAACATACCTGGGTAGATCCATCCATCATGTACTTTACGACAGTTCCTTGACTGGTGATGACTCTTGACACCTCTTGTTCTGTTTGCCTTGCCACAGATGTATACAGATGAGAGTTCTTTACCTTTTGGGGATAACTCTGCCTAACCAGAATTTCCAGAGTAGGCTGCTTGGCCTGTTCTCTTTTGGTGTCTTCATGCTTTATTTCACCTTCTGTAACCTCACATTCCTCCTCTCCACTTGCCATAACCTCTTCCTCCTTTGCTTCATTTGCTTTGGTCTCACCTTGCTCAACCTCCACTTCCTTGGCTTCATCTGCTTTGGCCTCACTTTTCTTTACCACCTGTTTCTCAGCTTCAGCTGTAGTGGCTTCACCTTTCAAATCTGAAAACAAATTCTGAATTACTTCATACTGCATAGCACACATTCAAACAGTGCTAAATACCCAGCACCATGGTGTCTACAGAAGGTATGCAACTTAAAGGTGAGTAAGCCTAACCCTCCTTGGCTTCCTCTGTAATCTACAGAGTAAGGGACAGCCTCTGTTTTTCAGAGAACAATTCAAAGCAGTCATCTACTCAGAAACTCTGCATCCTCCTGTGGAGGTGTCTGTCTTTCCAAATGAAAACAAAGGAAATTTGAAGATGGATTTATTACGGATGCTGAATTTTTGGAAGACTGACATTAGGTGAGAGGAATTTCCTAACTGCCCATAAAGGTGAAAAAAGTTACTGAGTTTCACCAAGTTTGAGTCTGTATAGAAACTGAAGTTATTTTTTAATATCTACTTGAACAAATAAAGTTTTTAGATTAAATTATGGCAGTGTGTTGGGTGTGCTAATGAGTATAATTGTGGTAATTGCGTCAAGAGACTACATGTATGTGTCTGTAATTGCTCTATTCACCTCAACTATTCAGCATTTTAACTCATGCTCCTTGCCAAACTATGTGTGTTTGAAAACCATCTGCATCCTCTTTACTTCATACCAGATTGATCAGAACACATTTACCCTAAACCGGCAAAATGAGCCAAGCTGGCTGTACCCGTAGGGGCATTACTAGCAGAGACAGAGATGTGATCATCCCACTCTACTCAGCGCTTGTCAGGCTGCACTTGGAGTACAGTTTTGGTCCCCACAATTCAAGAAAGACGCGGACAGACTAAAGAGGGTCCAAAGGAGAGGCACAGAGATGATCAAAGGGCTGGAGGATTTGTCTATGAAGAAAGACTGAAGGAGTTAGGTTTCTTCTCGCTGAAGAAGGCTCATCACAGTATTCCAGTACTTAAATGGCGGCTACAAAGAGGACAGAGGCGCTCTCTTCACAAGGAGCCACATGGAGAAGACAACGGACAATGGGTACAAGTTGCACTGGGAGAAGTTTCATCTCAATATAAGAAAGAAATTTTTTACAGTGAGAACAATCATTCACTGGAACAACCTCCCCAGGGACGTGTAGAGACCCTATTGCTGTAGGTTTTCAAAATGCGATTGAACAGGGTGCTAGATAATCTCATCTAGGCTCCCTTTTCCACAAAAGGTTGGACCAGATGATCTTTCGAGGTCCCTTCCAACCTGGGCTGTTCTATGATTTTGATATTAAATGGAGAGAGATGTCTGAAAAGAAAAATGAGGGAAGCTTTTACTAGCAATTCAGGTCTATGTAGCCAAAAAAACCGCAAAACACCACCAAAAGACATTCCTCTCACATTATTATAAATTTGTGCTGGATCCTTGTGTACCATACTACATTTATTAATGCTATTTAATACAAATTTATTTTTTATTAATTCATATACACTGGACTTACCACTTTGCTAAGAGGTTTCTAAGAGGTATGTTGTTTCATCAGTTGCTAGGAAGACAAATGATTCCGCTGTTTTTTATGCAACAGCTCACATACAGGATGTGTTGGAATTACTGCTAGCATGTACTTGGTATATGTGATGAATCTAGTTTATTCCTGGATATGGCACCTCTGCAGTTGTGCTGATCTATTTTCACATACTCAGTAGCTCCAGTACAGCCTGGGCTGGACAGATTTGTTGTACATAGGCATTAAATGACATCTGTAGGTAGCTGTTTTTAAAACTGACCAGATGACAACAGCAAAATTCACATTTGTCTGCTTCAAAACCTAATGGCGTGACTACAAAAATTCAAGATTTACTACAGTTTACAGTATGCAAAGATGAACCTCACGCTAGTTTTCAAAAACACTGGGAAACGGAATCATTGCAGAGGATGTAATGCACAGAAACTTTTAAGTATCTATATAGCCTATTGGTCTTCAAAAGGAAATTTAACGATAAGGGCAGAAAGGCTTATTATGACTGTCTTCTCTGTATATACTGGATGGCATAAACCAAAGGACTTATGTGAAGTAATTCCTGTTTGAAACTGATCATATCTTTTAGAAAGGCAACAAAACCTGATTGTAAAATATCCAGTAGCAGAGTCCATCACAGCCTGGGTTAGTTTTGTTAATCATTCTTACCATTAAAAAATTAGTATAACTTAAATCTAATATAAAGTACTACTTTTCAGTTTCAAGCCCCTGAGATTTGTAATACCTTTGTATACTGTATTTACAAGCTATCACCAAAATTCTGTTTCCTATATACTTCCAGACTGGCACCAGTCACTCCTTTGACCTTTTCTTTGGTAATTAAATTGAGTTCTTTGGTGATGTAAGCTCACTATAAGATACATCTTCCAATGCTTTAATCATTATTGTTACTTTTCCCTGGATCTTTCAGAATAGGAACATCTTGTCTTGTCGACTTAAGAGCAGTACATATGATTCCAAAGGAGGTGCAGATATAGGTAACATAACAATCTTCCTGTTACCAATCAAGATTCCTTGATATACATGCATTTACGAATTGAATTTACTCATTTTTCTGTAGTATTCCAATATACATGCATATTCAACTGATATTCAACATGACTCCCAAGTGCTTTTCAGGGTTGCTGCTTCCCTGCCCCCTATCTGTTATGTCCAACAACCTGCAGTTCTAGATTTTACACTTGTTTGAATTAAAACACATTATTTATGTTTCAAATACTATTAAATAGACATATGACAGACTTAGCAATGTGAAATGTTAAAAAATTCATAGTGTTACATCTAAACCCATCAAGGAAGAAATAATTTTCTTCTGTAATTTTAACTTCTTTTGAAATTCCTTACTTTGTGGTGGCTCAGAAAACTAACCTCCAAAACTTTCACCAAGGAAAGTTAATACTAGTCCATTGGGACAGGAGACATTCAAACTTGGGAATGCAAGACCATTTGACATCACTTGTGTTTGGGAAGGTGATTCTTCCATTTCCACCTACAGAATGAAACATGAATTAGTTTTATTCCACATTTCAAAAGAATAAAGAAAAATTTAGACTACAGATTTCATTGTAACAAAACATTTAAAAAAAAAAAAGTGCTTTCTACCACTCATTTTTAACATTTTGAGAGTTTATGGATTCTGAAGTGGAAACATTAGCTTATTTTCTTTGATTATGCTATCTTCTTTCATTCTTCTTTATTAACACTTGAAGAACAACCCTTCCTAACTTTATTCATTTTGCTGAGTCATTATGCTATCTTGTGCACAGTATCAAGATGAAATGACAATAAATGGATAGCGTGAAGCAGAACAGCGTGAAATAATTCTTGAAGTTGCACATCAGTTATTTTACCTATAATCATTAAAAGAGCACAAAAGATAAGTAAACAGTACTTCCAGTCTGCTGCAAATACAGCACTGACTTGAGAAGGGGACAGGAAGGAGTTTTTGGCAGTCAAAATGTGTAATTCTCTTTGAACTGCTCTGTAGTGGAAACTATTCTGATGACTACAAAAGATGAGGTTGACCTAAGGAATGTCTGAAGACCCTGGAACATTTGGAAAAAATACAACAATGGACCCTTTGATGTCATCCCCCCAAAAACCTATGTGACAATGAACTATACTATGCCAGTAGTCATAAGATGAAAACAGTTTTGGGTTGCAGACAAAGCTAACAGAGAGAACTTGCCCTGGTATTACCCCATATTCTTGATTTTTAGGAATAGAAATATAGTGGAAAATTGGCAGATGTTTTGCCACCTGTTTTTCAGCATAAAGGATGCTGTACATTTTATGGTTACTTTACACAGTATTACTGGGTAATTAAGGCTATCCTCAATACCCTAAGATCATAGTCACAGGATTATGGAGTAGAAGTCACAGAATAGGGCAGAAGTAACCCTCAGTTGTCATCTACTTCTTTCTGTCTAATGGTAAAAAAAATTCAAGCATGTCTATATCGTTAGAGAAAACTGTTAACGTAACCTACTCTAAAAATTTCCAGGATTGGAGGTTTCCTGGCAATCTATTCCAGTGCTTTATCTTGACTAACCTTACTGAGATTTTCCTATTGGTTAGCCTGAATCTCTCTTGCAAAAAATTAGTTTACTTCTGATTATTTCTTCCGATTATATGGGTAGCATAAGAGATGATGGTGTCCCTTTAGATCTTTACAGAAGGCTTTTCTGTCTCTCAACTCTAGATCAAACAAACCCAAACCAGGTCTTTCAATCTCTCCCCACCAGTCAAGTTTTTCTAGACCTCTGATCTTTCTTGGTGCTTTCCTTAGAACTCTGCAGTGTGGCCCACATTCTTCTTGCAGTGCAGCATGCATAACTGGACTCAATACTTCAACTGAGGCCCTACCATCCCTGAATGGAAAATAACTTCGTATATTTAGCAAGCTATACTCCTGCTTATTCACCTCAATGTGGTCTTTGCCCTTCTCACAGCAAGATGGCATTGTTGACCTATGTATAGCTTGTGTTCCATTGCAACTCTCAGACCTTTTTCTGTAGAACTGTTATTGATAGAACTGTTACTCACTCTGAACATATATATTGATTATTTATATGTAACTGTAGAACCTAGCATTTATTCTTACTGAATTGCATCTTATTTTCCAGACCATGTCCATGTGAATCTGTCAAGTTTGCTTCGGATTTTAATGCTGTCCTCCAAATGACTTGGAGGCTCACACAGATGGGTGCTGTATGCACGAATATGGATGCTCTGTCCTTCAGAGTTTTTATTAAAACACTAAAAATGGACCAAAGATATTCTAAACGAAATAGTAAAAAGCCTTTTGGAAGAAGAGGAGAAACTTAGATGTCCTCCTGACAGAATTTTAATGTTAGGGGAATTTGTTTGTGTAGAGTTCGTTTGTACCACACAATTGCTGTATGTTATGCTGAGTACTGTTTGGCAACTCGCTACACCACTTTCCATGCTCATGCTCTTTAAATATCTAGCTAAACTTGTTGAAATTAGGTCAGCAGGACTTTCTGTGGATATGGACAGAATCCATGTTGAAACAAGAGCCACAGCATTACTTCATCCACTAGGTACCATGGAAGCAGCACAGCTACCTTGTGTTTAGAGTCTTCCAAGGCTATTCCTGCAGCGCTTGGTATGTGTTCATTCTTGTCTTATTCTTATTATTCTCTCCTCTCATTTGCTCTGTAATGGAACCTATCTCCTGTTTTGAATAAACCTGCACTGCATTTAACCCTTCATTTCCATATTGCCCATTCTACCTCTTTAAACAGTTCAGCCCAGCTCTGTCAACAGAATTATGATCTCCATTCAACCTCCCTTGCCAAGGGAGCTGAGATGATAACTCATAAACCTCTTGTGAGTGCATAGCAAGAGTGATTTTGAGAGAAGTGGCCAAAGTAATCAGAGTAGACAAAAGACCATTTTTCCAAGACATAGTTCTGAAAAAAAAGACTATCAGATCTTTAGACCAGAAGGTGGTGACTCTTTTCAGGGCAGTGCCCTAGAAAATGGTAACAAGAACTAAAGTAGAATTTCACAAAATGCCTCTGGAATTGGAAGCCACTACAGTTGGATGAACTACTGTTAATTTTCCATGGAGAAAGTCTGAGGGACAGGATAAAAGAGAAAACAGTGCAGGAAAAGATGGCAGACCTGGTGCCACTCATGTTCCCTACATATCATCTACCATCCTGTGGAAGAAGCGGAACATAAGAGGGAGGAATGACTGCGTTAATGGAAAATAATTGGTCATGAAAAGGATTATATGCAGTAGATTGGACTTAAATTTGGCTCAGGATGAAAACTGGGACATTCTATTAGCAGTTATTTCTGCATCATTTCAGCCATACTTGATTAAAGATGGAACCAAGTAGGAGGAAAATTAAAACACACTACTATATGATTTAAATATTTTTGCAGTTAGTCTGGAAAGATATTAAGAACCACACTTAACAAGCACATTACCTAGAAATGCTACTCTTTTGTAACTTGATCAGGTTAAAAGGGATAGCTTTTCATCATAGCTATCATTAAAGAATTTTCCCAGACAGTGTATTTTAGAGCACCAGTGTTATATGAAACTGTTTATGGACCTCAATGCTTTGTGTTCCGACTATGCCTATTTTCAGAAGACTGTCCTTTCCTAAACTGAAGGTGGTAACTAAATTGGTTTTCAATACTATTCATGTTCATTTCTGTCCTTTTCTTAGAGTTTGTTTGTATTTTAATTGTGTCCATTTCTGGGACACTGCTGGTTGGAGAAAACAGTGTCAAAAAGAAAAGAGGTTAAATCATCTCAAGTAGAAAACTCCTGCATCCTCTTCCACCATCCTGCTACTATTTCCTCCCACATTTCTTTAAGAACCTTTCCTGTAATTCATACCCTTGCTGGTCTGTGAGACCACTGGATCAAACAAACATCCAGTGGTTGCCTAAAATATTCTGCCAATAGTTAGCTAATGACCTGAAATAAGCTAGGTTAGTCATTTTCAGAGGGGAACTGTGACCCATTTCTGATCTGATATGGCCTCCCCCACTCACATGTTTTTATGCCAAAAAAGCTTCTCATAGAGTTTTGTGGAAGATGTTCAAGATTAAATGCTGTGCATTTCTGATGCACATGGTCCTGTAATTCCTGTATTACTCTGTGCTAAGTACTCCATAACAGAAATTCAGAATCTGCTTTTGAAATGTCATCCATCCTTTCCAAGGGACTGTCCTGTGACAGAAGTACTTCAGTTACAGGCAAAAGTAACTTCCTCAAGTTGCTGGTCCCTGGCTTGTGATCAGCTGGAAAGACCAAATTGCAGAGCAAGCTTTTGCAAAACTGTCTCCACTAATTTACTGGTTGATTAGACTTTCCAATACAGGTTTTGGAAAGCACAGAGAAGTTCTCCTAGTTGGTTAAACTAAAAATTAATTTCTAGAGCAGTTCTAGTCACTGAGATATTAATAATGTAACAGGTGTAACTGTAAAGTCAAAATGGACAAAAGTATGTGGACCATGGAAGACACAATGCTTTACATCATGGAGTAATAAAGGCTAGCTTCATTAACAGCTGCCAATATGTACATCTGAGAACAAATGGAAGAGTAAAACATATCCTTAGAAGCATCATAAATTGTTAGGAATTTGTTAAGACACAGCTCAAAGCCCTCAGAGAAGGATACATGTTTCTGTTACTTAAGTTTATGTATTTGAATTTTTGTTTGTTTCTTTTCTGGGTTCATTGGATAGTATCTATCCTCTCACCTTTCCTCCTTCCTGCTTTACCAGGTCATCAGGTGGTGGAGGGCCTATCTTGCTATCACTTACTTTTCTGGATGGCAGAGATTTTCCTGATTTTTGTTTGACGGACTTATCTTTTTTTCCTGAAGCTGATGTAACAGGAGAAATTATGGTCGGAATATGAACAGAAGGGATGTTCAGAATTCTTGCTAAGACAGGATCTGTTTTATCATCTAAGGAAGGGAAAAGCAGTATTTTTAATACAATTAAGTTTCATAAACATAGATGGCCACATTTTATGTTTTAACAAGATTTTGTACACTAAATTTTACCTTAGAAATAACAACCTCAGTGGGGGAGTTCATTACTTCAGATAGAGGGACTGAATATATGAAATTATTTAGAAAATCTTTCCATAGACTGACTACTTGTCAGCCTAAAAGGCATCTTGAAACTATTGTTTCCCACAGATCATCACTTGTCTCTCAAAAATAGAAAATACAATTTTAAAAATACTCTTTTACCTCCAGAATACTTAGATAGGTGGAGACGTATCTAGGAAATCATCACTGTTATTACACTTTAGTATGGGCTGATCCAGCATGGACCGACTCCAGCAGTTTTGCACTACACAGCTCTATTTTGCTATAATGATTCAGAAAGATTCTGATGATCTAGACTTGCTAAGACTCCCCTAACTCTTAAAGGCCAAGCATTAGGGCAGCCTGCTAAGCATGTTGACAGGAGGTAGTCATGTTGCCTTCCAAAACAGTTTTTTGAAAATAAAATTAATACAAACTAAGATTTTCTGTAAAACATTTTTGTTTCAACGAACTGACACTTCTCTTTAATCAGAAAAACCCACCCAGCTCTAACCTTAATGTTTTTTGAAAGATTTTTTCAGTCATCTTTTCTTGCTTGAAGGCAGCCTAAGTCCCAAACCTACAACTCATGAAATAGCACCTTGTTTCCCATCCAGACAATTTAAGCAATTTAATTCTTGTTTGTTTTGGAGAACTTGCTACCCCAGATGGAGCAACTTAGTGTCCACATCTTAACAACACCCATACAGATAAGAACTTAAAACACCAGTGAGCAAAACATGATGATCTCAGAAACCACCTTTTGAAAACCTTTTTTAAATAAATAAAGCAAGCTTGATTTACTTAGTAGTTTCTACAAAGTATGAATTTTAATTACAAGTCAGTCATTTCAATAATGTCTTTAGGAAGACTTCCAAAAAGCCTTTTTTTTTTTTGTTTTGGTAAAATTACATTTTAATTCTGCTTCTTCCAATTAACAATATTATTTAATGTGAAAACTGATACATCAGGCAAAGAAAAGTTAAATAACTCATTGACAAACTGCAAGCCAGATCACATCAGACAATGAAGGAAAGAAATGCATCTGGAAGCATTCTAATAGAATCATTCTGGTGTGAGATTATAGGATTTTCTGTAATGCACATGAAGTGTTAATATATTTTTGGCTGAAAAAGATAAAAGGTAGGCCTAAGTGCTACTATGTCCACTGTTTCCAGAAAGGTTTTGGCACAGATGGTTTTAGCTCTGCAGATAAGAAAATGCAGAGGCCATCGTAAAAATAAAGTTCTAAACGACTAGAAAGGCTGCCTGCATGCTCATTTGCCTTATGGATGATTCTGGATTTATGGCAACTGCAAAGATGACCCAAAATTTAAGCCTCTAAGGCTAGAAGACATTATTGGATCATCTGGTGACAAAGCCCTATTTAGAAGTCCATGGATAACAAGCCTTCCACGTCAGTTTTTAAGCCTTCAATCTGTTTTTTTCTTGGTGCCAGCATTAGGGAAACGCACAGATATCTAAATATATCCATGACCTTTAGCCTGAAAGCCAAAACACAAGTTTTCACAGTCCACTACACTGTGGATGCTCTCTTGGCCCAAGTTTAAAAAGTCCTTTTTTAGTAATTAATTTGTAAAATGTATTTGAATAATTAAAACTGAGTGTATAGTTGAATGGTTTACCACAGTCCACACAAAGATGCATTCAATTAAATGTTTTCATATTTTAAGAGCTGAAAAATGCTGGGATTATTTTCTGATTAGAGGAGGGTTTCACTTTATACGTATGATGGTTTCAGTGGCCTTTCAAATGTAATGGAAACAAAAAGCTCTTGGTAAAAGCAGACGCTATTTTCACTGTGGTTTTGTGAAGCAATTGCTTCCAGTTGGTGAATGTGTTTATTGAAAGGCTGAGAGAAATCCCTCATTATGTCTGCACAACTGTAGCCTAAAGTCCAACTCCTAACATAAAATGAAAGTTCCATAATCACCTATATAAGTTTACAAAAATATTATTTCTTGGAAAACCAAGAAGACTCCTCAGCAAATCACATTTTCTTTGGCTCAAATTAATTGGCTGATTTTGCTGGGCTACTTAATAACAATACTTGCAAGTTTTTCCCTGCACTGCTCTGTTTTCACAGTAAGTAAAAAAGCACGGAGACCTCCCTCCATTTTGAAATTTGAATCATAGAATATTCTTGACAATGTAATCTCATCTTGAGCCTTGCTGAAAATTCCCCACCATGTAGTAACAGCTGCTGAGAAAGGCAGAATTGCATGCAACAAATGATTGGGTTAAGGAGTGTATGAAGAAAAAAAAAAAAAGAAAAAAAAAAATCCCCCTATGGTTCTCAAATATCCTCTTCTATTTGCTTACTTTACCTGCTGTCTTCCCTGTAGGTCCATAATAGCTCAGGGACAGCTGGATTCCATTTTCCAAGGTGGCTGAAAAAGATCCAAACTTGCTCACAGCTTTCTTTTGATTTTTCAATTTTCCTTTAAAAAAAATTAGAATTAATGTTAAAGATAGCAACACATACCAGAACCACCTGACCTGCAAACCAATGACTGGTGTGAACACTGGCACCTCAACGTGGATGACTAACCTGTAAAACAGATCAATATAGGACAGGGAAAACTTTATCATTCCACTGATAGGGTAGTATATAATAGTCAGTTTTGTGTAATACAGCTGTGGTCTTTCATCTAGAAATTGCATTCTAATTAATGGGTAAAAACAGGTTTAATAGCAACAACTAGTGAAAAGTCTTTGTGAATTTAAACAGCAAAAGAATCTAGTTCTGGAGTCAAGGATTCTTGTTTCTGTTCCCTGCTTGGCTGACAAGAATGCTGAACTGCTCATTTCTATCACATGTGGCCTATGCAGTAATAAAAGTCACTGTCTTTCAGGTATTGTCACAGGGACCGTATCTTGAGGAGAAAGTAAAAGAAAGGAGAAAAAGTCGAGAAATTAGATCCAAAGATATGTCTGGCATTTATGAAAGTGGATCAGGAGACAAGCTCACTTAGGGGTGCAGGACAAAATGTCATGTGATGAGTACTTGATCTTTGAAAACCACAAGATGACACCTCTGAGTCAGTGACACTGGATCCTACCTTGCCTCTAGTTCAACTCCTACTGCCTTTAAGAAAGGTTCTGCTAGTAAGAGGAAATCCTTAGGATTTCCAGTACGGGGAACAGCTTCTTAAAACTGTGAGGAGCAGCAGAGAAGACTACAAAAGAAGGTTAAGGCAGGCACCCAACACCTAGCCATCTCCCAGTTCTTTCATCAACAAGGCACACATGCTCAGACCTCGTCTGCTCCTATTTACTGTCATTGCAATGTTCATTGGTGACTACCACCTGCAGGATGCTGTTTTGCCATTTTGACTGCATTAAAAGCTCACCATTGTACCATTCAGCCACTGCCAAGTATCAGAGTGGATTGATTCTTCTCCTCCTTACTGCCTTCCTATAAGGTACTCCTGTTTACAGAGGACAGCCTCTCATACCTGCCAAGTGAATACAACTTGCCTCAGATGCTAGCACACTGGTGGTTTAAAGTACCATTTGGCAGACCCCAGAATGATACAGGACTACCTTCAGAAGGGCAGACAAGAAACATCTAATCTGTGGAAGGGATGCAAATTTTCTATTCAGACAACCTACAATTACATCAGTGGTGGCAGTCAAAGCCAACGAGAGGAGCAAGAGCAGGATGCTTTCTAACACTGATGAAGATTAAAAGAGCTAACACACCTACCAAAAGTTATACTTTTCCAATACTCTTCAGTTCAGTGAAGGCAATTCCACAGTGCTTTTGGCAAAAATATATATAAATCATTACAGACTGGCTTCCTTCTTGGAAACACTCTTACCTGGGTTCAGAAAGGATTTGGATTCAATGCTTTCTGAGTGGCAGCAACATATCAACCAGCAGTAGAAGTTGCTGAACTGCAGAAAGATCTGTTTCCACAGCAAAGGTCTTGAAGAGGTACTAATGCTACGGTCATCTGACCCACAAAAGGAGGTCCAGTTCCAAGGGGGAAATCTTCCCTTTCAAGGGCAGACACTTATTCTGGTCACAATGGACATGATTCAGTTTGCATCTTCTTAGGCTTTCCCAGGCCACATTAAGATATGAAGGAGGCCTCCACTAAAGAAGAGAATTCTTTTCTTAAGGAATGGTGACTCTTTTCATTGATTTCCTTGCTTTGGAAAAGAGACTGGTTTGCACCTGTTGATCTGTACTATGCTTCTACATATGGATAAGATCTCTCTACATAGTGCTTAAGTCAGCTAACTGGATTTTTACTTCTATTTACAGAACACTGATTTTATTTACCCTCTCCCATTAGTAGGGATTTATTTTAGGTTAGTTGATAAGGTTTGCATCCATTACTAAATATGTCAAACTCTTAATTCTTTATATCAGTGATACCAATCCACTAACCTGATCTAGTTTTCTGTTCTTCATTAATTTCTTGCACTTCGATTTCTTTTAAGCTTTTTTGGGGGTCGGTGATATGAATGAAGAAATTGTGGTTGTCTTTTATCACTTTCACCTTTACCAAAGTTAGATCTGCAAACCAACGGGATATAATTATTGCTCCCACCAGGCTTTAGAACTGTTCCACACCCAAAAAAACCCCTGCGCCTACAATTATAAAGCACACAAAAAAGAAAATTGCTTAGGAGTGGACTGAATTGCTTAGTAGTAGACCAAGAAGACAAAATTAAGGCTAGCTGAGTTTAGACTAAATATTGAAAAACTTCCTGACAATTAGATCTGAGAGGCTGCAGAATAACCCTGTTGCTTAGATATATTGCATTTGACTGGACAAATTATTGGAACATGCATTCTTGGAATACCATGTATTAGTTGCCATTGAACAGATAAACATGAACTGATTTTTCTCCATTTCTAATTTTCTGGTACTTTACTTATTTATCAATTGTTAACATACTACAGGAAAATGTAAACATTAGTAGTGATAGAGGCTAATATAGAATTACATGGTACTCTCACAATGTCTTTAACTGAATTTGTACTACCAAGACGTGAAAAAGCATTTATGGACCAAGAAACTATGCCACCAGTTAGTAACTGAGTCAAAGCAATGCATAAAGAATTAAAGAATCACCTTTCACAAACTCTATCTTCTCTACATGAATCTGTCCTCCATCAGATGGGAAAAGATATTGATTGGTTCCTGATACTTGAATGAGATCCTCCCCTGTATTGTAGCCAAGAAACTGGAAAAACAAGTTTTAGATTATGCGTAAATGAGAAAGGCAGAAGCCATGAAAGAGGCAAATGAAGGACAGATCATCAGGATCCCACTGTTCTGGTCAACATTTTTTGCTTAGATATTTAACTAATGTAATAATAATTTTAGCAAATACCTAGCATGTTTCTCTCATATCCAAATAATTTCTCAGTTACTAATTGAAGTAACTTGTTACACATGAGAGCAGAATCTGATCCTTCAGTGGTATAGAGCCATCATGGAAACTGAAAAGTAGCAAGTAGACTGGTGGCTTAACATACAATGGGAAGGAAAGAAAAATTCTGGCCAAGTACAAAGAGACAAAGTACAATGCCATGGGATCAGATAAATGGCAGATAAAGATTCAGCTTTCCACCCTCTAGATTTTGGAATTCAGACACTGTAAATCTGATTCTTAGATTGCTGTGCTTTCCAAAGAGCCACAAATTGGCAAAAATTAGGTGAGTGTACTCAAGTAAGTTCAGACTGAAATGATATATATCTCTGAGTCTGAAGTCTGTACTCAAGCAAGTTTAGACTAAAATATATTCACCTACGCAAGTTTTGAATGCAAGGCTTAGACTCTGCAAATATAAAGCAGTGCAAACAGCCTAAAAACTGCTTGGACACTACTATTGAACAGTTCCCTCTGTAAGAAGTATCCCTCTGTTAATATAACAGGCAGAATAGCTTGTATTAGGGCACTCCAAGAACATGAATTTTGAGACAGGGAATGGAAGAAAGAGTGAACTCCTTTTACTTGATTTCCAATGTGGACAGCCAAAACTTCAACTAGGTCTAGCAGTCCTTGAGTATGGGAGTTGGAACACATCTTTATATTCCTCTTTCCTACCCTCTCCCATGAAAATCACATTTTTAGGCAAAATTCATCTCATATATATATTCTCCATGGGCACAAAACCATGATCAACTTATCTTTGTGTTCATGTCATATACATTAAAAACCATCCAAGTTAATTAAATAGTCTTGTGTAGGATAATCTTAAACATCAGAAACTGCTTTCCAAAACTTTTAGGAAAGGATCTGCCGCTAAAATGATGGAGTTAAAAAAGACCTAGTTAGGCTTAATTTGCCCTGAACTCCAATGGATAATAGCTTTGCTGTAATCTTGACTCTATATATAAATAGTTAGCACTTTCCTAAGATGGTGCAATAATACGACTCCTTACCTTATAAACTTTCTCAGAATGTGGTTCTGGGATGCTGAGATTCTCCTCAAGTTCAGGGGCTTTTGCTGGCTCATCTCTAAACTTCTCTTTGGAAGATCTCTTGTTGGAACCTTTACTTTCTTCCTGTATTATTATCTCCTGTCCTTTCTTTTTACCTCCCAAGTTTTCCTTTTTTCCTTTTTTTGCTTCCTTAAGTTGTTCTTCCTCTAGTAATCGGTCCTGCTCCTCCTTCCAAGCCTACATTAAATGTTAGGAATTCAAATGACTGTGGTTGTCTTTGTATTACAAGATATTTCATATGTGCGTGCTGAAAAGAGTACAAGTAAACAAACTCAAATGAACCAATGTTCTAAGTCACTCACATGTTTTCCAAACATGTCTACAGTTTTACAATATTACACACTATATTTTGCATAAAATTACTGACTCATTCAATCCACAGGATCAGTCAATTCTTGACCACAGGAGACATACCAGATAATTATTTGTATCTTACACATTCAGTCATTAAAGAATTATTTTGTTATGCATTTTCCACAATGTTTATCATCAAATCAGAATGCATCACTGGTATTAGTTTATTCCCAAAATGCAACTGTGAGATAAAATGATTTTATTCTTTTACAGAACGAGGAATGAGGTATCAATGCCAGAATTATCAACTTGTATCAGGAAGACAACAAGAGACATCCGAGATTTTCCAGAGTATTCAGAGCTTTGTAGCATTTTATATTCTAAGCATACCAAAGCACAAGCATTTCTGTGGAAGAAATGGTCAGCATTCACAGTTAAAAGTTAGGCATTAGCCTAATTTGAGCCATGCCACCTCAAGTTGAGTACACAGGAATTGGTTAACACCATTTCATATCTACATTCCAATATCAGTACTTTAAGTGCAGAACATTACATACTATAAGAAAGATGAGACATACTATGTGAGAAGTCAAAAAAAGCAGAGGAGTACAACATCAATTAAGCTAGATTCATGCAGAGTAATGGACAGTGCCAATGCTAAGACTTAAAAAACGTGTGCTTAACTCCTACCTCAAGCCAGAAACTTACTGTGTGAACCTAGGCAAGTCAATTCATCTGTAGTGCATGACCATGGTCTAAGTCTATAAAATGGGATTCTCTGTCGTAAGGGAACACTGAGGTACCATATTTACACTCCTTAATTTCAAAGAGATGTAGATAGCGAAAGTAGGAGTTGGGTACATAAGTAGTTTCATGAATCTGGATCTTATGTTTTCATAGCTTTATAACCAGAAAACTTCAACGAGAAGTAGGATATTATCCATAACTCTCATTTCCTAGTTCTGCAGTTATGAATTGCTTTTGGAATGTCTAGTCTAACTCCAAACAGTCTTCCCTTAAGAAAATAACATAACGTAAATGAAACAATAAGGAATAAATTAAAGAAAACAAGAAATAAAGTATACAAAAAAATAGCCAAGAGCAGAAAAACTAAGAGGACTGAGTCAAGTCTACGTAAGAATGAAGGCTTACCTTCCTGGGAAAGCAGTGTTATTTAGTCCATTTCAGAAACATATATATTTTTGCCTCACCTTTAGAGAACCTTCTCTGATAAAAGGACTTTTTTCATTGTTGGATTGAGATTCTGGAATAGTCTCTGTTACGCTCTCAGGTCCTGACGTGCTGCCTTTGAGAAATGAAAGGGGAATAAATGAGGTTATAAATATATGAAAATTGAATAATTTTTTAAAAATGGAAAAATAAAAATAAAAGAAGTGCAAGTAAATAAAAAAAATATATTTGTAAATAGTAAAAGTATAAAAGTAGAATAAAGAAAATGTTAAATATTTTTAGAGATAAAATAGAAAGACTGTTCAGATTAGAAGAAACTTATCTGACAACAAGTAATACTTGATAGTCATAACTGGGGACCAAATAGGCTAAACAATATATCAACATATTTAAAGACTCACTCTCTGCTTCTTGCTGTTGAAGACTTTGCTCCTGCAACAAGATTTTTTTTATGCAGATGAGCAATGCTGAATAAACAATAAGCGGTATTTATTATTTTTGCTACTACCGCTGTTCCAGAATTCAGATCCAGTGCTTTAACCAGCTCACCAAACACCAGAACAAGCTCAATACCAGAATCATAGATATTACAACCTTTCAAGTAAAAAAAGTGAATAAATGCTGCCTGAACCTTCAAACCTTCACTAAAGAAACACTTGCCATATGCCTTGTTTACTATTAGGGCTTTATAGCATCTACGACTCATGAAAAGGGTATCTCTCTAGGTGTGTGGTTTTATATCATGCTTAGATACCCAATACTTACCTGCTAGAAAAGGTAAATTAAAGTACACTATTAGAAACTTCTACGTAAATTACTTTGTATTAAAAAGTAAAAATTGCAGTGTGGGCTACAACACTGCCAGTGAAATTGAAAACACCTAAATACACTGTTGCCCATCTGCATGTCCCAGCTAGAGGTGATTATCTTCTTTCAACAAGTGAACTACTCTATGAATCATATCTGTCATGAGGCACCAGATGGGCAAGACTCAATCTAGCTCTTGTGACAGCTAGATAGGTACAAATTATGATTAAGAAGTCATAACTGTCCTTTTGGTTTCCAAACTACAGTAAGATGTGTTAATTGGGTTGAGGAATAACATTCCTATTTTTGTAAACGCTAATTGCTGGTACTAGAGGTTTCAAAGTGCATTCTCAAAGAAGGTGAACAAAGCAAAGGCTAAAAATCAACAAATCATTGTTAATAGCATTTAAATACACAAATAGACAATTTGGACAAAAGTTCTCTTTTGTCAAAAGGGGTTTTCAGATTTTGCTGCCTGCTCAACAGTTACTGTATGAACAGCTTACAATCTTCACTATCCAAAATGTTGCTTGTAATTAAGTTTGCTCTGAAGTCTAGTCAATTCCAGTTTCGTTTTAGCTTCTACCCCCCGGCTTCTGACTTCCAGCTTTTATCCTGCCCTTTTAAAACGGAATTTTCGTGAACTGTGTTGCCAACTTTAACTACTGCTCATCTCTTCATATCTTCAGTCATCTAAACAGAGATTCATATTTGTATGTAATCCTTCAAGTAATTTCATTAAATAAACACAGCTATCGTAAATGTAAATTGACATTAAAGGTCTCAGTTTTCAGAACAGGGGATGATGCAGAATATCTAAATATGTGTATTTAATTCATTTCAAAACATATTTAAGTCTATAAAGATGACAAAACAAGGTTACCATATGAAAAAATATATGCAATTCTGCTCTGAACAACTTTGGGTCTCAACACTCAACATAAAAAATTGATTTTCTAAGATAAAACAAAAAGATACCCACTTTTGGCTTTCTTAGAGAAACCATTTTTTTTAACAGCACATGCAGACAATTCAAAAGGTTCTTCTGCCATGGCTTTTTCCAGTTTAAGAGACTCTATTTCCTTAGCCATCTTCTCTTCTTGGTATTTGGCTTCTTCCTCTTTCACCCAGTCTTCAACTGAGTTGGCCACCAGCTCGAGATAGTTCCTGAAAAGCACAACATTCCTCTATTTACCATAACACACTTTTCACTAATATAATTTCAGGTCAAACAAGATCACTTGGCTTCTCAGTTTCTTATACAAATATTATTCTGTAATCTTTGAGAGAAGGCTTGCATTTGACAGGGTTTCACTCGGTTTTTACAGGAGATGGTACTTTTGCCTGGCTGGTATTTGCTTAATATATCTTATGTTTGGGATTTTGGTTCTCCTTTCTGCAGAGATACCAGAAACTTGTCTTCCAAAGAATGCCTGCCCTTTAAGAAAGTCCAGAAAGTCAGAAAACACAAAGACATTCAGTTTAAGAAAGGTTGAGACTAATTCTCCTCCTCACTGTTTTACCACCAGGATAACTTATTTTCTTAGTTGCTCTGGATTTATATTGTCTTTTAGAATATACTTCATTTGGTTGTTCAGCAACTGAGGAGGTGTTATTCTATTTAATTTCTAGCTCTTCTTTATTGGTATGACAAGAAAGGTGCTTGGAAATTGTCATCCAAATCCAGATTAGAGAATCAGTGCACTGTAGCCTGGCGTAAATTAAGAATATCCATAATTAACAGTTGAAGTGAGCGTTGAATGTCAAACTGATCCAGAGTTTGCAGCTGGTATCGACAGTTGCATTGTCTCAACTTCCAAAGGTATCTGAAATGACTGCTAAAATAGTTCATTGTGAACAACTGTTTCCAAGGTAGGATGAAGCCTGGAAGTCTTATATGCAGTTGCTACTCAACCCCTTGTTTGGAGTGTTCCCCTAATTCTTTAAAGTAAAATTCTTCACGTGTGCAAAACTAAAAGGGGCTTTTAAAGAATGCATGAAATTCTGTTGTTGTGTCTTCACAATGTCTTGCATTTGTAAGTTCAAGATGATTCAATTGTACTCAAAAGCTCTGTATGCATTACAGTTTTTGGTTGTGAACGTGTAGGCAACACAACCAATTCTTGACTTCATGACAGTTTTAAAGTTCTTATTGCAGCATTACATTGTATGTCCAAGAGAACTAATACGTAGGCTATCTACACAGATGGGAGATGTATACACTTCATGTGTACACACAGCTTAAAGATACACAAGTGTCTCCCAGCTCCTGCAATGTATGTGGAGCCTGCTTTGGGAAACTTGCATGGAGAAACTGTTGATCATATACTCAGTAGGGACAAGGTGACCCTGGTTGTATCTGAAGAAAAGTGTACAAGCTATAAAAACAAAGGTGTTGAAAACAAAAGGCAAAGCTAGGCTGGAACCTAGAGTTGCCAGTACTGGAATAACTTGAAGATGAATATACGTTATAAATAAAAAAGAGATTATTCGCATGGAAAATATTTTAGGGCAGTGAAACAGTCATTCAAAGTCAAAAATACACATTCTATTAATATGTATTCTGATGTCACTACTGCCAATGTCTGACTCAGAATCATTTCTCAGAAAGGATTATTCTTTTCCAGTAACTTGTGTAATATGTTTACTATGAAACAGTAAACAAATGTCATTAAGATTAACTTTGAGCAAAATAATAGTTTTGATAACGTCTGAATTCATTTGACTTCCTGTTAGAGCGGCCACCTATCCTAACCAGAGCTGAAATGTTTTATGCACACATATCACTGCAGGTACATGTGTACCTGTCTTTGGATCCCCTTAGTCAGTAGCATCCATTGGATTTCATGGGCAACCTCCTGCTGCCTACCCTTTGAACAGCACAATTCCTGAATTTTTCGATGTTCTACATGAACTACGGGATCTGATATCCATAGAGATGAAGGAAGAGTAATTGGCATCTTCAGGAGCAAAAGCTGCTGCAACATAAGAAATTTAATTTCCCCCTTGCATGAGAATTTGCTGTAACAGGACTCACTGTAACCAACTGATTAGCAGGTAACAGAAGTATATTCCAGACAGCAGCTATGGAACAACCAGACAAAGTGGGTCTGAGGTCTGTAAGATGTCACAATAAAGAAATAACAAGTAAACACAGGTAGAGAACTCCTAATAGAGAGATAGTCAAGTACAGCGCCTGTTGTGTATTTGTAACTCTCCTGTGGTGAAAGTGTGACTATTAAATATATCCCAAAATAATAGTAAAATATCCCAGAATGATAGTAATTTTAATAAAAGGAAAAGAAATAAATTGTTACTAAACTCATCAAGAGCCAGTTATTTCATACAAAGGTGAAAACCAGTAATACTACTGCTTAATTAATAAGTAGGATTTGTGCCTGTTTCTGGCAGGATCTGGAAGCTAATGCACGCAACAGCTTGAAGCACTCCAGGTATTTAAAGACTGTCTTCCACAGAAGTGTTATGTTGCTTGGAAACATACACTAGCAAATATTCATGATACTTTGTCTGGAAATCTGAAATGATCTTTAGCAAAAAGGTTGAATAAGGTCAGAAATTGTGCTGATAGTTTTGCAAAGAAAAGGCAGGTATAGATGCCATATAACAGAACCAAATGAGAGCCCATAGCTCTTCAAAGATACTAAGTAGCATACATAGCAGCGACGTTGAATATTTCTATGAAACAAGAGCAAAGCCAAACCTTCTTGTTAGCTTTCATGACAGTTTCTTTAGGAACTCCTTGCTGCTTTGAAACAGAACCCGATGAAGTGTCACTGAACAAAGATGACATGCCCCAAGCAGAAGCTATCTTTAATGTCTAAGCCTTGTTTCCAGTGTATGTGGAAGAGTAAGAACGAGGAACCATATAGCTATTCCATCCTCAACTGAATTATAATGCATCTACCAGAGAACATGCTTCATTCCTTCTTTGGATGCAAAATTAGCAACTTTTGTTTTGCAGGTACCAAGAGCTCTTCCCATTTTTCAGCTGGCCTTGAATTGACTATTTCAATGCCCTTTCAAGGTGACCAGCCAAATTGTTTTAGGACCCCATAGATGAAGAGTTGTTGTTTCAAGAATAAATGCTCCTTGAGGAGGTCTGGTCCCTCACTATCTGCTCCTACAGACAACACAACAACAATATGCCACTGGGATGAGGTGTTACTCAGTGTATGTAAACACCAAGTGACATGTTAGATGCACTAGGGTCTCTAGTTTCTGTTCCAAAAAAGGATCTCCTATGGGTCTTATATCATATGTGGCAGCTCTGTGTGGACATCTCAGATACACCAGGCAGCTAAACTGGCACCAGATGTTTATGTTTAAGCAACTTGAATCAGGCCCTTAATGTCCAGCGGCCTAAAGAAGAGTAAGAATAGCTGGCAAAGTAAACAGCTCTGGGCTCCAATAGACTTTTGTATTACAGACTTTGAGACCACTGACCCTCTGCCTGGGTCTATCTGAACGCAAAACACAGATTTACTTGAACCATCTTTCACTGTCTTAGGGGGAAGATTTCAGCTGTTATATACATGCAAAAAAATTGCTTGACCAGACATTTAGTGGATTTGCCCAACCACCACAAAACAGCCAGTGTTTTCTCCAAGGAACTTTGTGTTTGTGCTGATAAATCTCTTCTGGCTCTGGTCCCAGTCACTGCTAATGACAACAGCCTCTTTTCATGGAAAATAATTTAAGTCCAAGTGCCTGGAAAGCTGAGACTCACACATAGTTCCTTGACTGAGAGCAAAGATACAAAATACAACACAAAATATGTCTTCAGGAAATCACATTTTGCCTATTTAGCATTCAAACCCGTTCCAACATATAGGTACCAACAAAAGTTGCTATTAAAAGATTCCCATATTCTGACAAAAGAGGCACTGCACTTAGAAAGGGATGCCTGCAAACAAGTTGTGGGCGGGGGGAGTGTTGTCCATTGGATAATTTGCTTGAAATTCTATTTAATAAATCAAATCTAATTAATCCATAGAGCACCAAAGTGACATGGTTAAAGATAGCTCAGCTGTCTCTCCATGGCATTGTAGCTTCTTTACATATCAGTACATGGACACATATTCTATTCTCAGTCAATTATTTGGAATAGCAGTTGGATCCACATCATCATTTATATCGCTGTTTCAGTGCAAAAATGCATTCCAAAATGAATAGGTCCACAGACAAAAGCTCTAATAGTGGACACATCAACCACCTGCATACCTCTAACTGGTAAGCAGATAGTGATAAGGAATTAAGAAGAATGTGGTATTCTGTGAAAAAAAAAATCTAATATTAATACAGGGCTTCTAGCTTTTCTCAAAAAATTTTCCCAGTGGCACTCACCAAATTTATGTATATGTAGTTGAAAAACCTGATAATTATATTCTTAGACAGAATTTTCTTTTTAACCTCCCTCACCTGAAGTGTCCTCAACATAAATTTCTTGATGTGGATGACTTTGCATGTATGTGTACGTTATATATATTTTTATAGTTTGCGATAAGGAGTCACATACAGTTACTGCATGGTTCTCCTCACTCAGAAAAGCTTTGTCTCAATAGAATTCTTTTGATACAGCACTGTTTTCCACCTGCGTGACTTGCTTTCCAATAAATGTGTTACATCATGGTATCTTTTAATTTCAAAGCTTTGCCCCAAGCATAGCCATGCAGGCTTTAATTGAAAATGACTGTGAATGAGACATGAAAGATAAAATCAATTACCTGAATCCAACATTAGAGTGCAATGCAATATCCCAAGTCTCTTGGCACAAACGATACTGATTCATAGGATTGTGAAGAACCATTAGCAAAGAGTTATCTTGGGTATGATAAAAGGAATCAATACATCTATATTCTTGGGATGCGGTATGAAGAACCTGAAAAGGAATGAAATAGAGGTACATCCCCCCTGAAGACAGTAGCATGTGTACAGATGCCACACAGCACAGCTTTTAGCAAAAGGTGCTTCAGAACTTCACCCTCCTACAAGATGTACGCAAAGCATTTGGATTCCAGCAATCTGAAGTGTTCAGGAAGGTGGAAATTGAAACTTCACCACTATTCATATTGAGAAGAGGCATTCACTATGCTCCACTTTCTGAGACTGACCATGAATGAAAAAGTTCAGCTAAATAATAAACAAATAAATTCAAATGTTAAATCAATACTTAAATTTAAATAACAAAGTATGTAAATAAATAAATAGTAAATAAAAGCAGAACTATCATATACCAGGTAAAAAGAAAACAAATTCACTTTTTTTTCACTCAGTTAAGTTTACTTGGTATTCAGTTTGCTATACTATGACCTGCACATCTCTGAGATTTACTGTGTTCTACATTATTGCACTCTGTTCTGTACTGCCCCATCATTTTCAATGTTTACATTGTCTGCAGGCTGAAACTTATTTTAGGGTTACAGCTAGAAGAAATCTTTCTTTGAAACTATTATTTTTACAGAACTATGCAACTGAGGTAAAACTGAAATAATTCCGTATCAACAAATATTCTCTTTAAACATGAAAACCTTAATATCAGCTGGTGTAAAAATTATGTTCAGATGTGGCATGTAATATAAGGAAATACGGAAATATTCTTTCAAAATGTTATTTTCTGTTGCAATAAAATGTTATTTTCTGTTGCAGTTATTTTCCATCAGTATCTTTTGACTAGAGTCACTAATTATTCACAGTTCAGTTAGTATTAGCTATTTATGTTGCATAAGAAGGAATTCCCCATGTACTGAAATGTATGACCAGACTTTAAAGTTGTGATGCTAAAGTGATGCTGAAAAAGTCCAAGCAGCCTTTCCTTCACCCATGTATAGTATGTGTCAGGATCAAATAAGAATTGCAGCATATGAAGCTCAAGGCAGCACAGGAACTAATAATCCACTCCTCCCAAGAGAATGCCTACCAACTTAAGCGATCTACATTTGAACTTATCTTTCACATTTGTCGTTCTGTCTTTCTGCAAGATGAGTTTTAGTCTTTAGCTTGCAAGATTTCTATAAATGAAGCTTGTAGCCCTGAAAGGGCGAAGTACCATTACAACAAAATTTTCTATTTGCCCATAAAACATATACTGCATAGGTGTTTGAAAAGTATGCTTTCACATACACTGCACTTATGAGTCCCATAACTGCCAGGGAGGATCACCCCTAAGGGCAAGATCATTTTGTGTCCATCACACATTTAACTAAAAGACTCACTAGGAAAAAGGACAGCTGCAGTTTGGGCAAACCAGGATATGAAAGCACATTATAAACAAGAAACTGAAAAGCAGCTAAAGAACAATGGGTTTTAGTAAAAATGTAAAAGGGATAAAACTGAATCAATTATCTATTGATAATACCCTGTACTCTGCTACTAATTCTTTGTACAGCATTCTGAAGGGTGCCTGTATGTATAAGATTGTCAGTTCACAGATACCTGAAGAAGAACATGGGGTTGAAAATGCTCAGTGAAACTCCAGTCTGTCAAACAACGCCTCTGTGTCTTTTTTATTTCTTCTAAGTTTGGTCCTAGGCCATAATTTTCCGGACTCACCTCAAAATACACCAAAACAAAATAATGAATATCAACATTTTAGTGTCAGTTGTATTAAATTAACTGTAATCTTGTTGACTTAAGCATCCCATGTTGCATCACGGTTAATTTCATAATGCTGCACATGTGTGGACCCGTATGGCACTATTTAATAAAAAACACAATTACTCCCAAAGGTTTTTGGTCTTGGCCTTTTTATGGCAAACATAATCTAAATATTTTTATTACTAGGTTATATGTTTTTGAGTTCTGTAAGCAATTATGAATATTTAAACATGTCCTATGAAGTAATTTTAAAATTGCTATATTTATCCAGGGCTCTATGTCAGGCAGGTGTTTCTCAAGATGCCAAACTACTCAGTCCATTAGTGTGACACAGTTTGGCAATTTCTCTCAATCTCTCATGCTAGTATTTGACCCCTGGTATTCAGTGAAACCTGCATAGAATTGTCATTAGTAGCTTCACCAAGACCCATCACCTTAGAACTCAAAGAAAGTGATTTCATAGTGTTTATGGCACTATTCACCAAACATCACAAAATTAACATTTGCATGCAGCATTGCAAAGGAATCCCCAGTAACATGTCCTGGCACTGAACAGTATCTTCTGTTGCCTCATTCTATAGACCACATTTATTCTATTCCTCACAGTTGCCATATCAGAAATAAAAAGATCCAATTCTTTGTTCAAAACAGGATCAGCCAGACCATCTCTTCCATCATCTCTTCCATCTTTGCCATTTGTTTCTGTCCATCCTGGAAATTGAAAGCAGAATTTTAAGAAGCGTTCCAGAAATTTCAGCCCTAAACACTAAGGCTGGAGTGATGCAATTTCCTTAGCCTCCCTGATGAGATTGCCATCAAGTTGAAGCTTCCTTTTATGACACCAGTCCAATAAACACATGATCAGCTCTGCCACACTTCTTTCCTAAAAGAGCACTTTAAAATCCAGGGACAACAAGTGCCAGACAGTTCATTTAAAAAAAAAAAAAAAAAAAAAAAAAAAAAAAAAAAACTTTTTAAAACACTCCCTTAAATCATCC